AGGTTTTAGAATTTAAAAGTTCCTACCCTTAAGGGCGTGAGACCTTTTCAAATGTCGGGTTTTCACCATGTTAATAATTGTATTACCTATCAATCTTTCTTCCGAAAATAAACTAAAATTTCCAGAAATGATATTTAAGAGTTAGGTACATTAACTTTCTCTAAATTAACTGAATCAAAGTACAATATATTTAATGCTACAGAATATAAATCCAACCGATTTACGACAAGAGTGCATGGTGGAGGGTTGTCAAGGTGGCACGTTGTCGCCTATGAGCGAGGTGGCGCGTTGACGGCACCGAACACTGGGCGTACACGTCAACCCGCCACCTCGTAAAAGAGTGGTGGCGGGTTGACGTGGTGGCACGTTGTCACCTACGTGCGAGGTGGTGGGTTGCCGACATCGAACATGGAGCTTCACGACAACCCGCCACCTCTGATAAAAACTGGTGTTGGCGGGTTATCGTGGTGGCATGTTGTCGTGGTGGCTCATTGACTTGAGTGTGTACGACAACCCACCACCTCGGAAAATTGTGTGGTGGTGGGTTGTCGTGGTGGCCTGTTGTCGAGGTGGCGGGTTGACCTGTACGTACACGTCAACCCACCACCTCGGTTTTTTTGTGGTGGCGGGTTGACGCCTCTGACCAAAACACCGAGGTGGCGGTTTGACGTGGTGGCGCATTGACAGCGACCCTAAATTATCTATGTTGTAGGCTATTAAAAATGTGTTTAGTTTTGGATGTTGGTTTGTGTTAGTTAAATGATATCAGTTATTAGTTATTGCATTTTTATTCTAAGGATTTGGCATATGAGTAAGCCTATGATAAACTAGGTGTGCAATGCAGTTGTATGCTTGCAATATTGAGCGGAGCTAGCATATTAATCCAATACTTTTCTAAAGTCATTTTTACCTCGCAAATGAGATTAAATACTTGCAGATCCAATGTCAATGGTATATTTGGTTCACTTAAATGGAATGTCTATTTGCAGTAATTCTAAGTCAATTATAAGTCTGGTTCAGGCAAATGAATTGTCTAATTGCAGAAACCAAAGCATATGTTTCATCTGGTTCCCATAAATGTCTAATTACAGTATCCAATGCGAATGATACATTTGGTTCAGATAAATAAAATGCCTATTTGCATTATCCAAAGTCAATGGTACGCCATTGCCGGTTTAAATAAATGGAATGTCTATTTGCAGTATTCCAAGTCAATGATACGAATTGTTACTTGCGGTATCCAAAGTCAATGATACGTCGGGTTCACGTAAACGAATTGTTTAATTGGAGTATTCAAACTCAATGGTGCATTTGGTTCTTGTCTACTTGCAGGATCCAAAGCAGTGGTTCATTTGATTCACATAAATTGAGTGTCTATTTGCAGTATACAAACTCAATTGTACGTAGGCCTAGATTTGGTTCACATAAATGGAATGGCTATTTGGATTATTTAAAGTCAATGGTGCATCAGCCTTATTCCGCCGACCATAATTATTGGTATTTCATTTTGTAGTAAATTATACTCAATGATATTAAACCGATTGTTCTTCCCTTTTTCTCTGTACGGTATTTGTAATATGCTATTTATTTAGATGATTCGTTGACTAAAATATGTTGCGACTCTTTTTAATTTTTATTGTTATCTCGCAAATGATGACATGGCAATCAATTAACCCATAAGGCCCATGTTAAATTTCCAAAAGTTTGAATTCACGTAGAGAAAAGCCCTGTGGTCCGATTTGTACCATTTCAGATTCATACCATCCCATGGTCGGTTACTATGATTGTGTTAAATTTGTTGCAGATCGCTTCAGTCGAGGAGTATTTGTAAAACAACAGCAGGAGTGTAGTATAAGAGCTTCGCTCGCTTCGCTTCGCTCCGCTCAATAACACCATTCAGAGTTCTACGAGTTTTTGCCTAACTCTCTCCTGTAGAAAGTAGCCTACACATTGTCTACAAATTGGCTAAATAACTTAGGTACGGTACTTTATAAAAGCTGGCAGCCTTTTTACGTTGAATTAAATTGTAAGCTTACCTTTTCCCGTACATGGGCAGATTGATTGTTAAAAATTAACCCTTTAAATTGGAATAGGACTGTCATGTAAATTTTGAGTATTTCCTTTAGTTAATAATATTTTAGTTGACTCTTTTAAAATCATCAGAAATTATGACTGTTATTAGTTTTTAAACAAGTTATTTGTTTAAAAATAACTCCTGTACTTCTTTGCAATTGCTCGATTTCGAGCAACATGTACACTAGTTATAAAAAAATACACAAATACTGCCTCCAAAACAAAACAGCTGTTACAATACAACCATAGACTAGGAGTATGTTTTATCTATGATACAACCCTACTTGCGATGTTGCCACGTTGAAGGCCGCGGCCTGGAGTTAAAGGTGGCCGTGGTACAGAGCACTAATAGCACTACTTTGATACTTACTTGATACTTGATAATATCCCACTGGAAGCGTATCTACGCCGTGGTCGTCAATGTATTATATTTACTCTTCATTTCTCTTATTCTGTTACTCTTCCAGGAATTATTTTACATTATATATTTTCTTCTCTACCAGGTACATTTTTAATTTTTTCTTCAGGCCATTTTGATCTTCATTTTTTAAATTTTGAGGTAAACTATTGTATAATTTTATGCACATGTGATAGGGACTTTTTTTAACTAATGCTGTTCTTCTTTTGTGCTTGTCTGGTGTTATAGTTGTGAATACATTTGTGAATATTGTTGTTGATAAAACATTCTGGTTTGGCTTTAACAGTAACGGCACATTCCAGAATATAAACTGCTGGTAGAGTTAAAATGCCAAGTTCCTTGAAGGTATCTCGACATTAGGTGAGTATCTCCCATTTTTAAAAGTGGTGAGTAGTCCGGTTCTTTCCTATTGTAAAATTGAATTAGACTGGTTTTTGAACTGTTAAGTGCCATTTTATTATTTGCGCTCCAATTAACCATTTTATTAATTCCTTCCTGAGTTTTCCTTATAACTGTTATACGGTCTTTCCATAGGTAAGATGCCCCACATCATCTGCGAACATCAATAGTTCCTCGTCCTGGATCTCTTCAGGCAAATCATTAATATACAGAAGGAACAACACTGGTCCGAGATTTGGTCCTTGCGGGACTCCTGTGTTGATACAGTCAGAGATATTTGATTTAAAAGTCTTTATAACATTCGTCTCACTGGTGTTTCTAATATTTACAATTTGGTATCTGTTTTTAAGAAATGACATTATCCAGTTTAGGGGATAATGAGCACTAAAATAATGAGCAGTAATATATTACAATTCCCTAAAGTTAGAGTTATAGCATGTTCTGCAGGATAGGACAAAATTAAATCAGTTCAGTGAAATGAACGGATATATGCAGCCTAATACTCTAAGCCCTTGATACCTGAGCGCCAGACCGTTGATACGCATGGATTGGGTCATATTAAACTAATTTCCGTACTAATATTCACACTGTATACATTCATACACAAAAAGAAACACAGAAAATGAACAAAGGGGTTACTCCATGTTACACTTAGGGGTGAGTGGTGTGCACTAGTGCTGGTGTCTAGGGCAAAGTCAAATAGTGCCCCCTCGTCCTCATGAACTACAACGCTCACGGTGGAGGCATATCCCACCCCCTATGTCCCTGTGCCCTGTAGGATAGGAATTTCCGCGCAGTGCTCACCATTTGGTCTCTTCCTTGCTCTTCACAAGTATATTTCTGGCACAACATACCAGAGCTGAACACGCACGGTTGTCCCATAAGCGTGTTTCCTCACTTATCTATTTTTGTTACTCCACATAGATGATGTGTAAAACAGGGTCATACGTATAAGGACCCATGGTAACGTTTTGAAAATTTAACATACATGCAATTTAAAATACTTTCTCCATATATTATGGTAGGAGGAGAAAGTAAAAATGTATACCTCTGGTACATTTGCCATGTTATTAGGAATAATATGTGAAAACAAAACAAGCAATTTAGGCTACACAAACTTCGGTTAAAAGTCAGATCCAGTTTTCTAGTTAAAGTCAATGCTACTTTATCTAGATTTTGAAGCCAACCTGACTATATTTTGTTTGTCTAGGATTGAAGATACATTTATTACAATTTAAATTAATTTTACAGAAAAGAGGATAGTTCAATTAATTAAGTCATAAGTCATTTATTCAACCAGATTTACATAGTTTACATGCATTGGTTTTGTCAATTATAGTAAGTTAATACATCAAATATATCAAAAATTCCTTATACTACATGCCATAGATATTTACATTTGGTTTACATTTAATTTTTTTTTTTGGAAATTCACCCATTATGCCCATGACTGCCCGTCAGCAACAAACTCAAGGACACGGTAGTAGCATTTAGATTAGTAATTTCCGGAGATTTTTTTTTTAATGACATGGTCTGACTCAATTTTTAGATGTTTCGGCAAAGCATTGAAGAGCAGGATTCCGTTATAATATTGATGTTTCTTGAAATATATAGAATTGAAAGATATAGAATTCAACAATAAATTTGTCATTTATTTTGTTATAGTTTTAGTTTTTGTTGAATGTCTTCACACATTCTCTTATGACTTACTTACTTAAACTAAGACCCTATACTTGCACCTGAAATCGTTTTACTTATTACTTTAGGTTAGGCTTAAGATGATCACGACATTAAGCACGGCCACCTTTTCTGGGGCCGTGCATTATGACTCACCCAAAAACCAATGGTGATTGACTGAAGGGCTTTCGGCTTTGAGCCCTAGACCTTGGGGACTAAAGCCCCGTGCTTAACCAGTAAAATAGCTCGCTCCCCAACCTTTTAATATATTCATAAATTATATTGTTTGGCAGAAGTCTAGAAAAATTATTTCAGATAGGAACTTTGGTATAAAAAATACATGGCTGGTAGGAAATAACGAAACGTATTTAGAGGGATGGTTAGGTTGGTTCCCTGATCGTTGTTGTGTACTGCCATCGTCATGTCAGTTCAGTAGTCGAGTGACGAGTAGTCTGCCTTCTGTCAAGAATCAGTTCAGTTGTCGTCTGTTATTCTTCATTGATTTATAATCTATAATATTGTTTAGGGTTTAATTTTCTACTTTGAGGTGAAGGTTAAATAGGCTATATTTAATTGGAATATAGGCTATCCAATTTTCTAGAAAAGTGAGTGGTTAGTCGGCATTGAATCATTTTGATGTGATACTCATCTTCTTGATCTGTCAAGTACTGTAGGCCTAAGTTAGCTAAAAATATGGCTGCACCTAATAGGGGAGATAAACTGATTGAAATTGATTCCCCTCCAGCTTCATTTTCTACTCAGTTACATTTTCAAGAGTTTACCTCTAATGATCTTGGCGGCGCAGCAAAATTAGAAGTTCACAATTCTCATACTCTTACTTTCAACCAGACTCCCCAAACACCAGGAGCATCCACAGGTGCATCTAGTACACCGATTTACAATGAAACCTCCGAAAAACCATCCTACTCTATTTGGAGCCTTGAGTATTATCAGCAACTTTTTGATGTAAATACAGACCAGGTTGTTGAAAGGATACTGTGGGCTATGGTGCCAAAGCCAGGGGTTAATTTCCTTCAACAGCACATTCAATCTAAACCAGATTTGTATGGACCATTTTGGATATGTGTAACTCTAGTATTTACAATTGCTATCAGCGGTAATTTAGCTAACTACCTTCAGACAGCTGCAAGTATGCACTACCACTGGAAATACAACTTTCACGCCGTCACATTGGCAGGAACAGCTATATTTGCCTATGCATGGCTACTACCATCTTGTTTATGGGGATTTTTGAAATATCAAGGTGCACTTCACGAGGTGAGTTAGTGTATTACACTAAAATCATATCCTTATCAACCTAAAATCATTCACTACTTTCATGCCTTAAAGCTGACCAGATTTAATAATTGATCAATAGTGTTCTGTATGTAATTAGAACTAATAATAAATGTATTTGTAAAAGTACAATTTTAACCAACTTTATTCAACACAAATTAAAAACAAAGTGAAGAAGTAAACATTATAACCAGCTGGTGATAGTTATAAAATAAATAATCAATAAGTAAAGATAGACATTTAGGATGTAACACTTCCCCTTCTTAAGTGAGCTTCATAAATTGAGTCTATCCACGGGGTTATGTGTCCTTTTTGAACGTCTCACTGTAATAGCGGGAGTTGGTGCCACTGGAACATCTGATATGTTGTGATCGTTGGCCTCTGGAACATCTGATATGTTGTGATCGTTGGCCTCTGGAACATCTGGTATGTTGTGATCATTTGTTATGTGGTTTTCGGTTGGTATGTTGTGATCATTTGTTGCGTGGTTTTCGGTTGGTTCCTCTCTGACTCCTCCAAAATGGACTCCTCCAAAATTTGTTGGTATGAATACTTGATTTTGCTCATTCCTTAATGAAAACTCACACAAGTTTCGCCCTGAACGTCTAATTTGGTCTTGATGACGTCTGATTGTGCCACTGCTTGTGGATATTTCATAATTTCTTGGTCCTTCTTTTCTATTGATCTTTCCAAAGCCCCATTTGTTGCAGGTCCCATATAGGCGGTAAGCAACAGGGTCTTGAGCTTTAAATGATTTTTGCCTGTCAGAATATGATTTTGAGTCAAAATTTTGGTCCATTTTTTGTGACAAATCAGGATACAATAAGTCAAGTCTTGATCGAATTTGACGTCCAATAAAGAGATGTGAAGGAGACTGTCCTGTAGTACTATGTGGAGCTCTTCGATAGGCCATTAAATATCTCTGTAATTTCAACTCAATTGAGCCTTCCTCAAAGTGCATGGCTCTGATAGTATCTTTCAAGTCTTGTACATAGCGTTCTACTTGGCCATTAGTTGCAGGATGGTAAGGTGCTGATCTCTTGTGTCTAATTCCGTTAGATTGAAGAAATTTTTCAAACTCTAACGAAACAAATTGCCTTCCGTTGTCTGACACTAATATGTCAGGGATTCCAAAAGAGCAAAAGAATTTCCGCAAAGCCTCAATGGTTTTATGTGAATTTATAGTTGTAAGTGTTACAATCTCTGGCCATTTACTGTAGGCATCCACAATTAGGAGAAAATAATGGCCATAAAATGGTCCTGCAAAATCAACATGAACTCTTTGCATAGGCCTTGAAGGATATTCCCAGTGGTGAACTGGTGCTTTGGGTGCTTCATGTTGTACTCGTTGACATCCCAAACAATTTAAGGTCATATTCTCAATGTCTGCATCAATTTTAGGCCACCAAACATACGAACGAGCTAGTCCCTTCATGCAAACTATACCCACATGAGCCTCATGAAGTTCTTTCAAAATTCTTGGACGAAGTTGTTTGGGAATCACCACACGATTCCCTTTTAATAAGCATCCAAGCTGAATTGACCATTCTTGTTCGTTAGAAGACATCGGGTGATGTATTGGCTCCCCTCTGATTAGTGATTGATAAATATCTCTAAGATCTGGATCAGATTGTGTATTTTTTGCTATTTCTTCAGCTGTGACAGGTAAAGTATAGATTTGTTCTATTTCATGAACATCGGCTGAGTCAATAACAGCAGCTTCTTCAACATTTTTAGGTAGTCTTGAAAGTGCATCAGCATTAACATTATCTTTGGTTGATTTATACTTTATGTCAAATGAAAATGCCTGAAGGAATATAGCATAATGTTGTAGTCTTGTTGCGGCCATAAGTGGTATTCCATTTTTCGGTCCAAATATTGATACCAGGGGTTTGTGGTCTGTAACTAGGGTGAAATGACGTCCATAAAGGTATTGGTAAAAGTGTTTAACTCCAAAATAAATTGCCAGGGCTTCTTTTTGTATGACACTGTACTGTTTTTGTGTTTGTGATAGTGTTTTGGAAGCAAATGCAACAGGTCTTTCGTTTCCATCCGGAAACACATGAGAAAGAATTGCCGAAATTCCAGATTGACTAGCATCTGTTGCTAGAATGAGTGGTAAGTGTGGGTCAAAATGGCATAGTATATTCTCTGACATCATTTCCTCCTTCACCAATTGAAAATCTCGTTCACATTCTTCAGTCCAATTAAAAGGTACATTAGCTCTTGTGAGATTAATAATAGCTTGCATCTTTTCACTTAAGTTTGGAATAAACTTTCGATAGTAACTTATCAACCCAAGGATTTGTCTAACTTCTTTCACATTACTTGGTCTCTTCAGGTTTCTTATTGCTTCAGTAATATGTTTACTTTTACTTATTCCCTTTGACGAGACATGGTAACCAAGAAAGTCAATCTCTGGTACAAGGAATTGAGATTTAGAAACATTAATGTGTAAATCGTTGTCTTTGAACCGATTTAATACAGCACGGAGTCTTTTCAAATGTTCTTCCTCACTGTGGGCTGTTATTTTGACATCGTCAAAGAAAACATCAACACCATCAATACCTTGTAGAATATTTTCCATTGCTGATTGCCAAATAGCAGGTGCACTTGCAATTCCGAATGGTAGACGATTTACTCGATATAGACCTTTGTGTGTATTGATTGTGAGCAATTCTCTGTATTCTTCTTTCACTGGCATGTGTAGGTAAGCTTCGGATATATCAATCTTTGTAAATTTAGTCGAATTACCCATTCTGGCCAAAATATCATCAATGCGGGGCATGTTGTGTTCTGGTATTACCAAATGGGGATTGAGGGTTACTTTGTAGTCTCCACACAGTCTGATATTCCCATTTGCCTTCATAATCGGTACAACTGGAGTAGCCCAAGAACTCTGATTCACCTTTGTAATTATACCTTCTTTTTCTAGTCTGTCGATTTCTGCACTAACTTTTGGTAACAAAGCATAAGGTAGTGGTCTAGCTTTTTTAAAAACTGGTGTAGTGTCAGGCTTTAAGTTAAGAAGTGCTTCTCCCCCTTTGAAACTTCCAACTCTTGGTTCAAATATGGATTTAAATTCCATTAAAATATCGTGTACTTTGGGATTTGAGTGTTTAACTCTATTCAAGTCAGCTCCGTGAACGTTATTTATGTCTGACCAATTTATTTTAATCGATCTCAGCCATTCCCTACCAAATATCGTATCTCTATTACCATCGACTATATACAATGGAAGATATTTGGTTTGGTTACCGTAACCAACCTGAACAATGGTTTTACCCAATGGAACAAATTCATTTTTGTTGAAATCTCTTAATATTATGTCTGGATTCATTAAAGGTCTGTGTTTTGGAAAAAACTTGGAAAAGTTACTTTTTGACATCAAAGATACCCCTGCTCCTGTATCTAGTTCAAACGGAATAGTTTTCCCATTTATTTTTATGTTTAACATTATTTTCCTAAATTTATCTTCTGATGTATTCATAGAACAAATGTCAATAACATTAGTTTCCTTATAGAGGGATCTAACAGAATTGTTCATATTTTGTTGTAGAATTATTTCACTTTGATCTTCCAATGAGTCTGTTATTTGTTTTACATTTCTTGAAGTAGTGTTAAATGTAGTCTTATTTTGTCTTTGCAATTTGATAGGTGCATTAGGATTCCTAAAACAAATCTTTGCTAGATGCCCTATTTTTTTACAGAAGTTACATGCTGTATTTTTGTGTTTGCATTCAGATATATGTATTCATGTAACTCTCCACAACGGTAACATTGTTTAAGATTGGTACTGTTTTTATGTTTTTGAAAACTTTTCTGTTGTACAACATTTAAGTTAACCGGCAATTCATTGTTTTCATGATTGAATTTTGATTGGATTGTTATTGAATCGTTTTGAGCCTTTTCAATTACTTGAGCCATGTCTACAGCTTTTTCAAAACTCAAATCACTGTCACTTAGAGTAATTAACCTTGCCTGTATTTTTTCATCCCTTAGCCCGAGTATGAATTGGTTTCTCAGGGCTTTTGACAGAAATGTGCCAAAATTACAATATCTAGACAACTTTCTAAGATCCAATGAAAATTCAGAAACGTTTTCTCCTTCATATTGGTGTCTACAATGAAATTTGAATGTCTCTGATACTTCATTTGGTTTTGGTGTAAAATGTGAATTAAGAGTTTGAACTAATTCAGCATAGGATTTAGTTATAGGTGATACAGGATGCAATATATCCCTAAGTTTACTGTAAGTGTCTGATCCAATACAGTGAAGTAACGTAATTTTCTTTTTGTCTTCCGAAATGTTGTTATAAATGAATGATATCTCTAGTCTTTCCATATACATTTCCCATGTTTCATATCTTTCATTAAAGGGTCCAATCAATGCTGAGTTAATCATTTGAATGTTTTGAGATGTATTTGAATTACTTGTACTCACCTCCATCGTCGCCAAATTGTTCTGTATGTAATTAGAACTAATAATAAATGTATTTGTAAAAGTACAATTTTAACCAACTTTATTCAACACAAATTAAAAACAAAGTGAAGAAGTAAACATTATAACCAGCTGGTGATAGTTATAAAATAAATAATCAATAAGTAAAGATAGACATTTAGGATGTAACAAATAGGATGGTCCGTAGGTTGGTTAGCTTGACTAATATCAAAACTTACAAGCTTGTTCACAGTGTCATCAAACGATTAATTGTCTCATTCAATTAAAAGGATATATAATCGGGAAGAGAGCCTTGCCTTTAAAATTGAATTATGCTCCCGGACTAATAGTTGTAAGCTCGGTAAAGACTGATCTAGTTACGTTGGGGTTTTAGAGTTAATTCGAGTAGGTACAGTAATATAATAGGCCAATGACAAATTGTGGTTGGTTCCATAATCAAACTTTTCATACAAATATTATAGGCTACCTATTATACATATATGTTATAGTAGGTACCATATACATAAACCTACCGTATGGGGTAATTCTGAGCAATTACTTGGTCAACCCCAATTTTTTTCATATTTTACTACGGTCATCAGGAGGTTCTCAGAAAGCAAGAAACATATAATTCAAGCCCCGCAAGGCCATCATACAGGTTGCCGAGCGATAAGAAGGTTCAAAGTCCAAGCGATAACAGTGGCTTGCGGGAGACGCGCGGAAGGCCAGTTGTGACAGTACCGTTATGGCTATGGCTAGTGGTTCCTCCGACAATCCTTTTCTATGTGACGCCATTTGTTTCGGGCTATCGGTGAAGTTTACAACGGGGAATCGGCGCAACAGAATGTTGATCCAGTTGCCGCTGACTCGGATGACGACGTTGAACCTGGCAATTACTGAGGTAATTAATAACCTAACTTAACCTAACCTAACCTAACCTAACCTAACTTATTATGTTTTTTTAGTCTCAAATACATCTCTAAGGCCAATTTTAACAGTACCGTTACGTTACGTTAGGTTTGATACTACTAGGTTTGATACCAAACTGTCATTAAAATGTTATTGAATGCTCTTAAGTTATCTATCAAGGGGAAAGGGTTAACCCTTAAAAATAGTTTAAATAATTTCTAGCCTGAATTGTTTTGAAATCAATAGTTAGGTTTATAATTATAACCTAACTTAACCTAACCTAACCTAACCTAACTTAACCTTGCGGGGCTTGAAATATATGTTTCTTGCTTTCTGAGAACCTCCTGATGACCGTAGTAAAATATGGAAAAAATTGTTGTTGACCAAGTAATTGCTCAGAATTACCCAGTATGGATTCAATATCCTATTACTTTTATTTCAGGGCCGAATAAAACTTTAACTTGTGCCCTGTTTATTTTATATGCAAACCTGTACACACATATGAACGGGTAATGAATCAGTCAGTTATTTGTTAACTAGGTACCTACTTTAGTCAAATTCATTTTGCCATCCGTACATAACTTAGTTGAATGCTGTTTTTTTTACAGGGGGCCATTACGTTGTTAGAGCTGCTTTGTGTTTATGGCTATTCACTGGCCATTTACGTTCCTGTCTCTGTACTTTGGGTCATCCAAGTTGGTTGGCTACAATGGCTTTTGCTCATAGTAGGAGCAACTATGTCAGGTAAAATACATCTTTGCATTAGCCTATTCTACTTTAAAGAAACCTATATCAACACACCTTAAAGCTAATTAGAGTTATGAACCAAACTGTCAGCCTTATAAAAAGTAGATTCTAAATAGTAAAATATGATACCCTACAGTATAGCATATAAAATGTTTCTAACACCATGGCATAAACCAACCAAACCTATTTAGGGCCACAGGGTGAAATTATTGTCTGAAAACATCAGAGTTTACAACGAATGTAAAATCAGTACCTAGCCTAGTACTTAGGCCTACTTGATTTCTTCATCCTTGATCATCAAAAGTTGGATTGTTGTACGTTAAACTACACTAATAAACTTTAAAAATCACTATAAAACTTATGTAGTTTCATCTTAACTGACAGATGTGACTGTGACTTTAGAGAAGGCCTGCTGAGTAAGCTCTGGCGAAATACACATTTGAATGGTTTCGGCTCTAGGGCGCGGACACCTGTCGGTAAAGTGTTTAACAGTTTGATCGCTAGCGAAAGCGAATGAAGAGTGTGACTAAGCTGACAGTGAGGTAGTCCCCTCAAATCAACATCAGTTATTTGATGACTCTTAGTCCCCTTTATGTAGTTCTTGACCAGCTAACTTTAATCCCAGTCATTAAAATGTTATTGAATGCTCTTAAGTTATCTATCAAGGGGAAAGGGTTAACCCTTAAAAATAGTTTAAATAATTTCTAGCCTGAATTGTTTTGAAATCAATTAGTAATAAGTAAAATAGATTCAAAGTAAATAATATAGCAGTGAGAAAGAATTTTTCAATTAACCCTTTGGGTGCCAGAAATTTATTTTGGTACTTTCCAAAAAGTGCCAGAGTTTTTTTACGAGGTATGTCTGAAAAGTGCCAGGATTTCCGTGGGGGCGAAGCGTAGTGCGCAAGAATAAAAATCGGTAAAAGTATAAATTTTCATCCTAAAAGTGCCATGGTATGATATATTGTACCTCGATTGTATGAGAAATCGATTTAAATTATCGTTGTTTTATAATACCAACCAAGTCAACCGATATGCCCATTAAAACTCACATGATCGAAAGTTGCGCCGGGCCGATATATCGTTGCAATGTATTTTTCTGTAAGACTACCGACGACGATATATCGTTGTGATGTATTTTTCAGATGTGTTGTGCAAAACGATATATCGTTGCATGGCACTCAAAAGGTTAAAGAAATAACAAAATTCGATTCAATTCAGGTCAGTTTTTGGTACATTATTTATTTTAAGTATTTTTGCTTCTAGTCACTGATGCACATTTTGTGTTCCAATCTTCAGATGAACGATAAATATTAAAAACTAAATGTTATGGAAGTTTTCAGATTTTAACAATTAATTACAAAATAATAGTTTGACTTTATTTTAACTGTATTACGCAAAACTCTCCGATTAAATATAAATTAGTCAGGCCCCGACGACTCTGTAGGGATTTTTATATTATATTTGATACTTCAATCGCCACACATTAATTTATTTTACAAGACCCTTTAGTTACAAAGTTTAAAATTTAACACGAGTAGCTTTATCAAATTGGCCGAGATAGAATACTCGTCTGTCCTACAGAGTCAGTCAAAAAGTTAGGCAACCTATTTCAAAACACTCTAAAGAAGGCACGGATGATAAAGCTCCAACTGAGCATCTGCAGAATTTCCTGAGCGCTTCTAGAGCTCTGAGCCTTCGATTAAATGGAATAAATTGATTTGTCAAAACCTATGATAAGAACAACTTTGTATCGACCCCTGAATTTTTCTTGGCTCCTTCTGAGCACTCCGGGGAAGAAATTTGAGTGTGGCTGGTTCTAGGTGTATGCCTAGCCTGACTTTGTGAATACTAGTTTATCCCCCCCCCCCCCCCCTAGAATTGAACGTCACATCTCTGGCAGGTATGGTGAATGTTTGTTCACAATATGGCTTTGTGGCATTATGACAAGCACCTGTTGAGTTGTGGGAGATTTACGTCCATCACTAGTTTGAATGATTTATATTAAAATACTAACAAGAACACCGCAGTGAATCATCTGAATAATGATGGTCCAAATCTGTCAGTTTTAAAACAATATATGAAATAGAAACCAGCTCTCAGCTCTCTCAATGTATTATAAAACCGGCAACAACATGACCACACACTCGTCACGTGCCCGTCTCCATTGTGCTATTGTGTGAAAAAGCAATAGTTTCACAAATACCTACACACAGCAACATTTAGTTCTTCATATTTAGTGTATACCCTTCTGATGATCATACCCTTGTTGTGAAATGCATATCTGTGACTACAAAACATCATCAACCCTTTTTCATAAATATGTGCACCTTCATTGTTGTAACTTTCAGTCATACAAGTTGTGTTGTTGTGCAGGCTATGTGCTAGTGACTGCTATATGGCCTGCTATCAGTCAGCGCAGTATGGTGCTTCTGGTAGTCATTCTTGGCTGTCATGTGTTATTGGCTGCTGGCTTCATGCTGTCCTACTTCCATGCCTCTCCGCCCCCTCTAATGCCTGAGACTCCTGCTCAGCTACCCACTTAGTCACCGGGCAGGAGTGGCACAATAAATGCAACAATATACAAATTTGAAAGTAAAACTTTTTAAATACATTCCTCTCTTTGTTAATATGCATTGTTTTGATATTTAAAAATGTATGTCTAGTTATTCCATTTTTTAATATATTTTTTTAGATACAATAACATATTTTCAACTATAAAAAAAAATTAAATACTATGAATATTAAAAGAGTGGATTAATGTATCACTCTTCTTGTAAAAAACTTAATATCCAATTTCTATTGTTTAAATATAACTACGACTAACAGTGCTACTTAAACGATTGAAAATTATTAACAGTTGCTTTTTACGTTGCAGATATTGTATTTTATAAATAACTGGATGTATATTATTTGTAAAGTGATTGAAAATGTACACTTGTAAAATAAAGGAAAATCCACCTATATGAACTGGTTTTTATCTTCTGTTTGAATTTTCTCTGATGTCTCAATCTCTAACAATTTCTTTTGATTATACCGGGTGCGGCAAAAGTCAGCGTACCGCTGCAGACCGGTAAGCGACATTGTTTATATCTCACGCTATTTTTATCTCTTATCTATCTCTAATCTAACGTCAAGTCATGTTTTATTTTGCCTTCGTTTATTCTTTATCGAGGATTGTTTGTTTTGGCAGTATACCACCTGTGACTGTGAAGTGAAGTTGGTGAGTGTAGTGTTTGTTCTATTAACACATACATCAGTGTTTATAATTATGAATCGCAAACTATCTTAAGACCAACAAGTATTTCTTTTGAAAAATTTGTGAAAATATGATCGTGATTATATGGATGTTATTGCAGCATATGAACTACAGTTTCTTGGAACAAAACCTCCTAAACGTGTTTTCGGAGAAACCTCAAAGTTTAGAACATTTAAAAGAATTGATAATGGAACATTTTGATGTTATATTCACACCACAACTATGTAAAAGAATCTGCAAATCAGTGTTGAAATGGTGCTACATGTGTATAGACAATGGTGGTGGTCACTTTGAGCAGCTTCTCTAATAGGTACTTACAATAATACTGTTATATAGTAATTTTTAATACTAACCGTAGTTTAGCTGCACTTTTGGTACCCTGACTTTTGCCGCACCTGTATATTATACAGGGTGTCCCGGAACTCCCTACCAATATTTTAGGATGTTGCTCCTGGGTAAGAAACATACCTTAATATCATATTTAAATTGTCCGGAAGTCCTTAGTTACTCACACAGCCGCCATTTTGTTTTTTTCAGTTATTAATTTTTTTCTAAAGAATGGTTAAACATACGAAATGGAAACTTTGCATGAACATTTATGACAACCAGACTAAGCTACAAAAAAATTATGACGATTTTTCAAATTCATAAAACAAAATAGCGGCCATTTTAAATTTTATAAAATCAACGGTTTTTGAGTTATTTAAGAAACAAAATTTTAAATGGCCGCCATTTTGTTTTATGAATATGAAAAATCGTCATAATTTTTTTGTGGCTTTGTCTAGTTGTCATAAATGTTCATGCAAAGTTTCCATTTCGTATGTTTAACCATTCTTTAGAAAAAAATTAATAACTAAAAAAAACAAAATGGCGGCTGTGTGAGTAACTAAGGACTTCCGGACAATTTAAATATGATATTTAGGTATGTTTCTTACCCAGGAGCAATGCCCTAAAATATTGGTATAGAGTTCCGGGACACCCTGTATAATAGGCCTAGTCAATTCTATAAGGATTCTTGCGGTCGCTGCACTTAGTATGGCGGCTTTATAAGTCATGTATTTTCGTGTGGCAGTCTCAGCGATAGGCCTAGTAGCCATCCTAAACACCAGGTACTGCAAAACATTCTTCTACCTTTTTCTTACACTTGTTTGCTAATTTTAACTATACCAAAGTCCAAATTCAAATCGTTAAGTTAAAATTACGAATCTATCAAAATTATTAGGTTACAGAAATAAGCAAAATCTACTCATGTCGCAAAGGCAGTCTCACAGCCCGCATAACCGTAAACATGATGTTCTAGTAATTTTAGCATCACTAATTTCTCTCATAAGTATAGGTTGGATCAAGAAAAGACATGTCAGATTTAAGTAGGTTGTCAAATTAATAACATTTTTTTATAAATGTACAAATAGTATAAAAGTATATGCTAGACTAGATGTAATTAGAATTTGGTTGTTAGTCGTCCAACTGGCACAGAGACGCAACTCCTCGGTTGATCCAGTGGTTCTCAGACTTGTTGGACGGTAGACGGATGTACATGACAAAGTTGGTAGAGTGTCCGGTGGTAGACAGTATACCTCGCCTTGCACTCGTCTTGTATATGGGGCAGTTGTAAGTGGGCTCCTCCACTAACTTGGCCTACAACATAAAAATCTGTTGAGATCTGCAAAGGTGTGGCAATACTGGAAATCTGGCAAGTTTTCATCACAATGAAATGTAAAAAAAAAAAACATCCTCACATTAGATTTGATTCGTAAAATCTGTCTCAAATTAGAAAATCGTTTGTACTAAGAATATGTCTAAGCATCTGACTCGCACTTAAAAAATGATTCCACTAATTCCTACTTATCTTAAAATATGCCTAAGCTGTATGGCATTTTATGTATGTAAGGTCTATGCATTAAACACATTTACTATCAAGAAATGCTACTTATGTTTCTAGGACATAAATTAAGAGCTACATTACCTTTTCGCCCGGCTTGAACCATATAATAGGCAGCGTGTCATACAGAATTTTGTTGTAAGATTCATCGATTAGTTTAGTATTACGATTCCATCGTGCACCCTCGATGAACAGCCCCTTTAACATAAATTAGGGGTCAATCAGGAAGGGAAAATAGCATTTTATAAGTAGACATTTAAGTTATTTAATGTGTAGTAATCCACTGCATAAAACAATCTGCTGCTTTTAGGTGTTATAACTTATTAACTTAATATATTACTAAACAATTTAGGAAGTAAGTAAAAAACCATAATACTAATCATGGCTAATCAACCTAATCTGCATTTAATATTTAACAACATGTAAAAGATTAACCAGAAAATAAAAATTGCCTTATTAGTTTAACTAAATCAGCAAAATGATTTGTAAGACTTGTGATTTATTGTTTATTTATATTTTTATATCAACTTTAAATGCTGATATTTTTCTTGGTTATACTCACACAATAAATTTGCACTAAGTATAAAGTTTGACAAGTTTTCTCAGTGATTTTGTTAAAAAACGCAGGAGTAAAATAAAATAGTGCAGTCAGCACTAGGAGAAGTTTACCATGCAACTGCACATTGCAGACTTGCCAAGTGAAATATTGTTAGAATTTTTTTTTCATAAGTCGACTTACCTCCACCATGACTCCGAATTCCTCCTCTTTATATTTTTGCTGCATGAAAGCAATTATTGTACATTTATAGATTACTGAACAAATCTAGCTGTTAAACTAAAAATACTTGTTACAGATAAATTAGCTACAAGAAGGTAGGTACTAAATTGACTCCCATACAACAAATGATCTTCTATCAAGTAATACAAAAATTATGTCAATTAATATTACATAAACAAACTTGCTTTGGACAATAAAAAGTGTACGGTTTTTTAAAGGTTTACTGCGGACATTTTCCATCACAGTGGTGATATACAATAATGGAAAATGTCCGCAATAAACCTTTAAGCAATATTAGGTAACTCATCATCACCAACAATGAACTTAAAACAAAGAACATAGTGAAAATTCTGTAGCATAAGTATATGATTCAGTTTGTTATGCCACATGTGCTAGTAACTCTACAATAGCACAAAACTAATCTGCTAGATTACAGATGTTTGTTACCCTAAATTGCATTAATGGTTTGATGACCACCCTACATGTCAATATTTCATGGATGGTAATAGTTAGCATGGTTACACTACAATAGCATAGAATTAATCTACAATAGTACTGAAGGTTGTATAAGTTTACCTAAAATGCCATAAATGGTTTTGATAGTTACTTTACAATAGCATGTATGGTTTGGATAATTACCCTACAATAAACCCCAAATTCAGGTTCTCTAGGAGCGTCAGTTTCATAGTGAGTGACTGTGAACTGGAAGCACATCTGGTCGATGGGGATCTTCTCCCGGCGAGCAAAGTTCTGCAGCACTCCAGTCAAAAAAGACTGTGTAAAAAAGAACCCTGACAGCCAAAACACTTTTGGAGGCCCATAGTCAATCCACTTTTGGAGAAACTGCATTCTGATGACAGACAAATTTCATAATTGTATAATGATTTAAAAATAATTACATGCTACACAAAACAAAATAGTAACAACATGTAAACCTTGTATTTGGCATTATATCACACCATATTATTATCATATCATTGCTTTTGAAAAAACTTCATCTAGGTGTGTATTTTGAGCTGAATACAAGGTCTGTTAAAAAAGTATCCGGCGTTGTTCACGAAAAGCATATTGACGAATTTGTTTTAACATTTGATCTCATTCAAAATAGTCTCCTTGCAACTTCACACACTTATTCGAGCGCTCCTGTAACTTTTGGAAATAAGCATGGAAATCTTCCTTCTTAATGCACTTCAGACGAGCTATCACATGCATTATCTCATTTCTGCTCTGAAATCGGGCCCCTTTAAGCGGTTTCTTACAGGTAGAGGGAACAGAAGTCACACAGTGCCATATCCGGTGAGTAGGGTGCCTGTTGTAGCATTGTGAATGCATTTCAGCATGTCTTGAGCAACTTTAAGCCGCAATTCCTTCTGTTCATCAGTCAAGTTCTTTAGGACAAATTTTGCAACAACTCTGCACATAACCAAATCTTTAATTAAAATTGAATGATCTGAACCAATACTGATTCTAACTTCCGTAGCTAGTTCACCAACAATAACACTTTTTATCCACCTCACTTATACTCTTAACTTGATCATTAACTTCATCATTTCGACTTGTTGATGGTCTCCCAGATCGAGGTTCACTGTCCACCAAAGTGCGGCCATCTTTGAATCTGTTGTACCACTCATTTATCTTTGTTGCACCCATAGCGTCTTCTCCAAAGGCTTGCTGAATCTTAAGAATCATTTTGAGCTAGGGATCACCCAGATTTTGGCAAAATTTAATCCAGTATCGCTGCTCCCCCCCTTCTGTCATCCTCCTTAGCACAAAAAAACGACAAGCACTACGTACACAGTTTAACGTTTGGCGGCCGACAAAGAACTGACGCCATGTTAAGGTCACGTGACGTGCTTAACAGTTGCCTTGACCTAAGTGCTAGGCTGCAGTTCAATGCGGTTGTCGGATTACTAGATAGTAAGTAAAGTTGGATACTTTTTGAACAGACCTCATATGTAAGCAAGATGAGCGAGAGCGTAGGCTGGATTGAGATAATCTGTGTAGCTTTGTTCCTAAAAGCAGCAGATTCTTAGCCTGGATTTTATTAAAAGCCCAGGAATCAAGGACAGCTGGGCCTGGTTACAAACCATCAAAAAGCTACTGACCTTTTCATAATTGAACGGGCGACCTTTTGATTACAACTAGGCAAGCACTATTTGGTTTTGTGTAGTTGTTTGAAACTAAAGTCTTGGCTCTTTGGACAACACTATGACTCCCTACACTGCATACATTACGTTTTACATACCTATTGAGGCTTGAGAGAGGGTTAGGACTTGGAAAAATTAAAAGAATTAATTCTTAACCAACGGAGGTCAACACTGGTGGCACCCAACCCATCACCATACTGGTGTACACCTCCTCTAGGTCCTTGGACATGACTATTGCACCCTTCACTGCCTACATCACGTTGTACATACCTGGTGAGAAAGTCACTGATGTAGCTGCCAAGAGGCTTGAGAGAGGGGTAGGACTTGGAGGCCCACACTGCTGGCACCCGACCCACCACCATGCTGGTGTACACCTCCTCTAGGTCCTTGGACATGACTATTGCACCCTTCACTGCCTACATCACGTTGTACATACCTGGTGAGAAAGTCACTGATGTAGCTGCCAAGAGGCTTGAGAGAGGGTTAGGACTTGGAAAAATTAAAAGAATTAATTCTTAACCAACGGAGGTCCACACTGGTGGCACCCAACCCATCACCATACTGGTGTACACCTCCTCTAGGTCCTTGGACATGACTATTGCACCCTTCACTGCCTACATCACGTTGTACATACCTGGTGAGAAAGTCACTGATGTAGCTGCCAAGAGGCTTGAGAGAGGGGTAGGACTTGGAGGCCCACACTGCTGGCACCCGACCCACCACCATGCTGGTGTACACCTCCTCTAGGTCCTTAGACATGACTATTGCACCCTTCACTGCCTACATCACGTTGTACATACCTGGTGAGAAAGTCACTGATGTAGCTGCCAAGAGGCTTGAGAGAGGGGTAGGACTTGGAGGCCCACACTGCTGGCACCCGACCCACCACCATGCTGGTGTACACCTCCTCTAGGTCCTTAGACATGACTATTGCACCCTTCACTGCCTACATCACGTTGTACATACCTGGTGAGAAAGTCACTGATGTAGCTGCCAAGAGGCTTGAGAGAGGGTTAGGACTTGGAAAAATTAAAAGAATTAATTCTTAACCAACGGAGGTCCACACTGGTGGCACCCAACCCATCACCATACTGGTGTACACCTCCTCTAGGTCCTTGGACATGACTATTGCACCCTTCACTGCCTACATCACGTTGTACATACCTGGTGAGAAAGTCACTGATGTAGCTGCCAAGAGGCTTGAGAGAGGGGTAGGACTTGGAGGCCCACACTGCTGGCACCCGACCCACCACCATACTGGTGTACACCTCCTCTAGGTCCTTGGACATGACTATTGCACCCTTCACTGCCTACATCACGTTGTACATACCTGGTGAGAAAGTCACTGATGTAGCTGCCAAGAGGCTTGAGAGAGGGTTAGGACTTGGAAAAATTAAAAGAATTAATTCTTAACCAACGGAGGTCCACACTGGTGGCACCCAACCCATTACCATGCTGGTGTACACCTCCTCTAGGTCCTTGGACATGACTATTGCACCCTTCACTGCCTACATCACGTTGCACATACCTGGTGAGAAAGTCACTGATGTAGTTGCCAAGAGGCTTGAGAGAGGGGTAGGACTTGGAAAAATTAAAAGAATTAATTCTTAACCAACGGAGGTCCACACTGGTGGCACCCAACCCATTACCATGCTGGTGTACACCTCCTCTAGGTCCTTGGACATGACTATTGAACCCTTCACTGCCTACATCACGTTGTACATACCTGGTGAGAAAGTCACTGATGTAGCTGCCAAGAGGCTTGAGAGAGGGGTAGGACTTGGAGGCCCACACTGCTGGCACCCGACCCACCACCATGCTGGTGTACACCTCCTCTAGGTCCTTAGACATGACTATTGCACCCTTTACTGCCTTTATCACGTTCTCCAGCGACTTCTTTATCACACTCAACAACCGGTTGAACCGGATTGCCTCCTGGAAACAACAATATATTATTAATCCTGAATCGGTTTTTTTATAAACCTATGTTTCATCTGCGGGTCTGGCCAGATTTGTGTTAATCTTCATTTTATTTCAATATTTGTAATAGCTGTTAGTAGGTTGTTGAATGTTTTGTTCTAGAGTTATTTTTTGCCTTAAGATTTACTGTTCCTAGGTCAGCAAAATGATACTCAACAGGGCCGATTTACCGAATAGGCAAGGTAGGCATGTGCCTAGGGTGCGAGGCAATTGGCTTTTTTGGGGGGCGCCAAAAAATTGGAAAAAAGAAAAAAATTGTGGCCGTTTTTGCATGCGATCGCGGTAAACTGATAATCCCTTGCGGCCGTGAAGACACCTTAACAGTCTCCCACAATTGCGGCAAGATGTTAATTATTTACCGCGGTTGTATATACGTCATCATCGTCCGTCTCCCGCGATCGCGTCAAAGTTCTGACTATTTCCAGCGGATGTGTGGACATAATTATCGTCTTCCTTGATCGCGGCAATATATGAACACATCCCGCGGTCGTGATGAGATTATCACCGTCTACCGCGAATGAGGCAAAATTGTAATCTTTTCCCGGGGTCGTGTGGACATTATCATCTTCTTGCGTGATCACGATAAAATTCTGATAATCCCTCACAGCCGTGAAGACATCATGCCGTGAAGACGGCAAAATGTTAATAATATCCCGCAGTTATGAGGATATCATCATTATCGTCTTCCGCGATCGTGGCAAATTTCTGACTGTTTACCGTGGTTGTGTGGACCATGATCATATTCCGCGGTCATTTAGTCATTGTCATAGTCTCGCGCGATCGCGGTAAAATCATGATCATATCCCATGGTCGTTTAGACATTATCATCGTATCATGCGATCGCGGCAATATTCTGATTATCCTTCACGGCTCTGTGGATCTCATTATCGTATTGCGCAATCGCGGTAAAATCATGATCATATCCCGCGGTCGTTTAGATATTATTATCATCTCATGCGATCGCGGCAAAGTTCTGATCATCCCTCGAGGCCTTGTGGAGACATATTATCGCCTCCCGTCTCCCGTGGTCACGGGAACGTCACTGTTGTAAATTGACAATTCCAGGTAGAAATAGAAAATTAACACATAATTCCTGGTTCAAAAAAAATCACGCTTAGTTCCCGGATTTCCCGGTTGGTGGTCACCCTGTAGGAATTGAAAATTTATATATTGCAAAGGGGCGCTACTATTAGTTGTGCCTAGGGCGCTGACATGGTCAAAAACGGGCCTGATACTCAATATTATATTCGTTGATGTATGGGGTAACATAACTGGTGATTTATCTGTCCATCGAGTGTTAGTAAAGCTTCCAATCCAATCTGGGCTGGTTGTCCTAGTTTATGGTTTTCTCAGGAAGATTTCCAATTCACTATCTCAGGCATGATAACTACTCCAAAGGCTAACTGCTAATGAAGAACAACCTTTTTGTCCTTTGATCAGTGACCAGGACGAGAACATAGGAGATCGCAGACCATAACATTTCTTATGTCGCTCACATACAGTGTTCAGCTCAACTGCAGGACAATTTTGATTGAGCACTCTTTGTTCCATTGTCTCCCAAATAACATTCAAGCGATAATCACGGCTCAAACTGACCCCCCAAGAATCCCCCAGAAGAGGGAACATTGAATTTGAAGATTTTAACAAATCAATTTTTGTCCCATTTGTGGTGTATGCCAAATTGTTATTGCCTTCTTCAGTCTAGCAGATCCTACAAAACAGAACATGCCAAAAGGAGTGAAAGAGGTCAAACTGTTGATAAAACTTTATGACAAAGAGAAATACGTATTTCATAACAAGAATATTTAAACTGTATCATAAACTCGGATTAGAACTAGATAATAAAGAGTAGAGCCGTCCAAGATGGAAGAGGCTGTTTTCTCTTAAAATTAAGAGAATTCTCTTAAAATCTTAAAATTGGAATGACCTTGAAAAATGTCTTGAAGGACACAAATATATATTCTACTGTATGAGAGACATGAAAAGGGACAAGGGATGGAAGACAATTGTCTTCTTCTGGTCTAGAACCGGCTGTGTTAGATGAAGCTGAAAGTCACAATAAGGAAGCCCTCTTCTTTTTTTGGTTTAGACTCCAGAACTGTCTGAGCAATACAAATAAGTGGAACACAAAAAAGATAGACCCTTGTATTTTGGGGTTGGTACAGAAGCGGCATTTCCTCACTAATTATACTTAGTAAAAACATCCCAAGAAGACGATGAATGTTTAATTCAATTCATTAGACTAGTTTTTTAATTTACATTTACCTATTACTTTATGGGTTTGCAAGGTTAAATTACTTAGTTAACTTGCCATTTAGTATAAAAAACATTTAAAAATTATGAATAGACATTTGAAAACTAGTACATAATCTATTTTCAACACATATTTTTACTAAACTTTATATGGAAAAAAATCTGAAAATAACAATTTTAATTCACTATTGAAATAAACATTTCTCCCAAGAATTCAATATTGAACAATTTTGAAGGGAATATTATTTTATCATACACGGTACTAAAATTAAAGAAGAGTAAAAATCCAAAAGAAACTAGGAGGTAATTAAGGTTATTGAATAGGTTAATTTAAAGATATAAGTCTCAAGTCCAACGGTACCTGTCTCAGTACAGTGTTCATAGATTGTGAATACATGACTGGGTACTTCTTCTCGACCTCCTCCGAATCGAAGGGTGATGGCAGACGAGCAAGAATGTCTTTGGCCAGTGTTACCAACATAGTGTCAATCTCGCCACCCCCTGCACCCTCAGTGATCTGTGGCTGCGTGAGCAAGACACTGCTGAGCAACTGTAATCAATTTGTAAGAACTTTGTATTGTCTAACAAAACATGTTTAAAGACAAAAGTTCAGGTCAAACTGATGACTTGTTTTGTTTCTATTCGGATAGCTTATAAATTTTGGGAAAATTTTACTCTAGGTACTGAAAAAAAGGAAAAGTTTACAAACCTCTTGAGATTCTTTGTTATCCTTGGTAATGTCTGCGTTGTCGTGCAGCCCAAACACTTCCGGAGAAGGATACAAAGGGAGCAAACGGATGTATTGAAGACAACTGTCATAGTCCACTTCTTCTGGTATGTGGTACTTACCACTTGGTGAAAAGTGGTACCTAAAATACCATTTTCTTTATACATTTTAATATTACATGTAAATATTCAATTAAATTAAAACTGTTGTTCACGATCAAGCTCCACAGTAGCAAATCTAGTCTTGTGACAGACTAACTGTTAGCAATAATAAAAGACTAAATCCACAAGTTTGCCTAACCAGCTTTTTGAATCTCATATGGTGTTGTGATGAAGAAACTACTGTGATAAGCTTAGCTACCAAATATTGGTGGAAATCTCATTTACTATACAAAATGGTAGTTAAAATACAGTACCTAAGGGTCAAGTACACAGTGTGTTTTTACAAGTTACAAGCTTAGCCCATTGTAGTCGCCAAACTTGGTCAATAGTTGCTAGTAAAAATGCTCTGGAAAAATTACTCTATTAGTGAATTAACAGTCACTAGCTTTTGAGAAAACTAGTTTGTAAACCAGTTAAGTGTAGAGCTCGTGCGTTTCCTGGTGAAGCCTGGGGGTTGGGTTGAAGCCCCTACAAAACCGGTTCAGAGCCACTCTAACCACCTACTCCCAGGCTTCACCAGGAAACGCACAAGCTAAACTCATAGTTACTTGTTCTTTACACAGTATGTTATTTGTTATTTAAATAAAAGACTGAATTGTGGGTGAACAGGAAAGAAAAGGCAAAATGCGAGTTTTTTTTTTTTACCAAGCAGCACTTTTGGATGGACCAATGTTTTCGAAAAACCAAATACTGACCTAAGTCACGACTTTTAAATTAAAACATTTTCTTCATACTTTGAAATATTGATGACGTTTTGGTTGTAGAAGATGGAGAGGAGAGAGTTGAGTAATCGTCTGTCTTTGTCGTCCGTGACTCTTCCTCCATAGTTACACTCTCCTGTCAGATAATTAAGTGCATCAAAAGGCACCTCTTCATAGTCATTCAGGAACATCTGCAGACAAACATTACTCCTTATAAAACAGCATTATGGATGATCATCAATTAGTATACTACCCTATGCATGTAAGCCTAATGCAATTACGTAGTATGTATAAACATGATAATTAGTACAGCTGATGCTGACGCTTAAATTTGTGAGGAAAACACTTCTCCTCCGTTAATATTGAGCCAAAATCAACATTTTACATTTAAGGTTCCAACAATACTGTCCTGGAATAAACTTAAATGTTGTATAAATGTTTTGAACTAAATTATTTTTACCCTGAAGATCGTGAGTTGCTCTCAAAGTTTTGAGGACGAGTGTTACAATCTATCTGATTTGGGAGGTAACTATGCACTTGATTTTCATCTCAATGCCATACTTTTTTGTTATGTCGATTCATATTAGCTGGCTTACAATTAAGTTCATAGTCAGTTATGTGTATGTTATACATCATTGTTATTGCTTCCTATAACGATTAAACTGTTACTGTTAATAATAGTTCAAATAACAGTTTAACTGTTTCTTATTGCTAATTTAGGTAGTAAGTAACAATAGACACTATTCATGTATATAAATTTATACTGTGTGAATAAAGACTTTTTGAATCTTGAATCTTGAGGAAGCTACCTGCAGTTGCATAACACTTATTCTGAGATCAGACTCGTTGAACTCATACGGAATGTTCCATCCGAGAGGTCCAAACTTGCGCCGTTCTTGTACGACAGCATGGAAGAAACAGAGAGAGAACAGCAGTCGGCGCCAGTGTCCAGCGCTGGGGCACCCGGCGAAGAACTCCGGGTCACTGATGGGATCTGTCGTGTAAGAGCGATGCAGGTTAGCTCTTAGACCCTTGGGGGGCTCGTTGGTCATCTTCACTCCTACAGAATAAATAACTCATGAAACAAGAAAGAACAAGAATTAAAACAAGAAAAGAGTAATTTACATTAATTTTAAATTACTGTAACAAACTCTCTTTTATATTACTGTAAAACTAGCGGCAACGAGGATCAGCTGGAGACATGATGTTGTGAAATCAAGGATCTGTTGAGCTGCAGAAGTAAGTAGCTCAAATATTGAACACAGTGTATTCAATTCATAGTTTCTATCTGGTACAGCTTGTCTGAAAAGTGAAAATTTATTCTTTTAAAATTAAATACTACTCGTATGTTGAAAATTGGCAAGCCAAGTACGCATTTTGTTAACAGCAATCATGATGATATTAAAAAAAGATTCCATCATGGGTCCATTTGCCTTTTGCTCATTTGCACTAAAACAATTATCCTCAAACAGGTGTGAATTTCAAAATTTCAACTCTAAGGTTTAGACTTTCCCTCTTTGGTATACTAGGTATGTTTTTTAAGTAAAGGCCGTTTTTAAATTTCTTCGTTCCAGCACTGCGATTGGCATTTTCGACATTTGCGCTGTGTATGTGCATCTATTGGTAAGACATAGCCGGAAATTCGAGAAAAATCGGCCGTGTTTACATCTGGTTTCAAGCATTCAAAATGGTGCCGCCAATTGAGACTGCCGCCGACTGTGAAGTGCGCGCTGTAATTAGATTTTTAAGAGCTTAAGGTGTGAAAGCCATTAAAAATCATCGACAGATTAGTGAAGTGTATGGCGAGAACATTATGAGTGTCATAATTGTATGCAAGTGGATATGGGAATTGAAATACGGTACCACGAACGTTCATGATGAGTAACGCACTGGGCAACGTCATTACTGCCCCGTACCCATGATGACAACCAGTGCGTTGCTCATCATGAACGTTGGTGGGGCCGTCTTAAAATGCCCTTACCTACTTGCGTACCATTCCGTCACTCATAATGTTCTTGCCATACACTTCACTAATCTGTCGATGATATTCAATAGCTTTCACACCTTTAGCTCTTAAAAATCTAATTACAGCGCTCACTTCACAGTCGGCGGCAGTCTCAATTGGCGGCACCATTTTGAATGCTCAAAACCGGATGTAAACACGGCCGATTTTTCTCGAATTTCCGGCTATGTCTTACCAATAGATGCACATACACAGCGCAAATGTCGAAAATGCCAATCACAGTGCTGGAACGAAGAAATTTAAAAACGGCCCTTACTTAAAAAACGTACCTAGTAAATTATTCACAGTCAAACCGAAAAATTAGGGAGTGTTTTCAAATTTTTGGTAGCTGGGTCCTGAAAAGAAATTATTCTGAACCCTCACCATTTCTCATTGAGCTATTATTTAATAATGTTTTTTTTTTTTTTTTACTAAAAAGGGCGATGAATTGGGAAAAATTCCCAGATGTAATATGTGTTTGACAGTATATCAGAAACATAGTTAAATTTTAGAAAAATATTGATAGTTGCTCTTCTTTACTTTGCCAAAATATTTAACCGTTCCTATGTTTTGGATATCAAATTAAACACACCCTTAACTTTAAATAAGAATAAAAAATAACAAAATACAAGCACCATTTTGTAGGATGGATATAGGGAACACATCTGATGGATAGCTGGTGAGCCAGATACGGAAGGACTTGTGAGTCGTAGCTGGAACGATGACCTCATCACAGATTCGGTCCAAAGACTTCATCCAGCTGGCGGCCAAGTGACAGTTCTGTAGGACGACCCACTGACCGGTCTTGATGGCAGTCTTGATCATCTCCGATGCTATGGGACCCTGAGATACAACTTGCATTACATTTACATTGTAAAGAATTACCAAATTGTCTTAGTCGATAAATGGTATTTTTTGTTATAAATATAGTGCACATACACCATAGGTTTAAAAAGTTTTGTTTTTGATGAAGCATTGTTGAATTCATTTTAGTAAAATTGTTTGTTGTAAAAAAAACATGGTACAGAGTACAAAGTTGAATAGCCTTTGAAAGGAGGTAAAAAAACTAAGACATTGTAGTAGTCTGTTACATTGGCAAAACATTAGTTTTATTAAGAAAGTTACTACATTGTATGAATAAACATGTATGAGCAAATAATAAATATAAAACTAAAAGTAAAGGAGTTAAGATTATGTGTCCTGATATACTATAATGAGGGTGTCCAGCCAACATGAAACACCAGGAATTGTACATAAATTTTGATAAGCGGGAAAAAGTCAGTGAATTGCTAGGGAAATTTGTATAGAACCAGGAAATTTGAAATAATTATCAAACACCCATGGCTGAGCATTAATTCATCATAATCCTTCCGTTGGCCACAATGGTATATTTCATTACCAGTACCGTAGGTGGTATTTTCAAGTTTCATCAGTGAGGCACAGCCGAACACAGGAACATTGAATTTCACATACTAGGCGAAGCCGAGGACAGGAATAATTGAAGCGAGTGCTGTTATTAAAAATAGCTACTTTTTATGCAGAGGGATGAAAAATACATTGTTTTCAGTTTTTTGTTGTTGCTATTTTTACTGCATTCCTGGCTAATATGAATACAGTTCCCAATTACTTTGAGAGACTTTGAAAGATTCTGATGTGCTATTAATTTGTATGACAAAAAAAATTGAAATGGATTAGTTAATTCATTATTTGTTAAAACCTCATCCTACATATAACCAGATCCATAAAAGTTTCACCTGGCCCTGGCCGAGGGAGATGGTCATGACAGTTGACCGGGAGATGCCGTGGTCATCAGCAAACTTGAGCAGACTGGCCATGGGGTCTCCGCCCGGGGAGAGGATGAAGATGAGGGGGGAGCAGCAGTGGGAGTCGTTGTAAGAGTCTTGAAGGTTGAATGGAGGAGGCTCAGTGTACTTGGGGCCCAGGTGCTTGTTTACATAGATCTGCCAAAACCATATTTGTTTAAGTTTATGTGTAAAAATCTTTCAACATTCTAGCGATTAGTCACGTTATTCAAGGGGTTATTCCAGACATTTTCCATTACGATCTATACCATACAAATGAGTTTTTAAAAAGTTACTGGATGTTGAGTCTAGAGAAAGTACCAAAACATAGCAAGATAAAGAAGTAGGAAATATATTTTTGTAAAGTTAAAAGTTCACACTGGACTCAAGATGAAGAAAAGGATGGAAAAGACAATTAGTAATATAATTAATGCTGCGGACAAGCCTTTTTATAAGGCTTATGCAGTTTTTGTATCGTATATACATTGTAAATATGTGCTGTACCAAGTAATAATAAATAAATAAATAAAATAATTAAGCCAAAGCTTGAAAATTTAAAAATATCACACAGTACAGTATTTATAACGAGAAACAAAAAATGTTGAATGAAAACAATAAATTCTACAAATGAAATGTACAATGTCAGCACGATAAGATGAAACAAGTGAGGCTGAAATCAAGCTGTCATAGCATGACGTCAATTATTCAATGTATATAAACTGTGTTTTGAGTTTGAATTTATTCCTAAAGGATAAACAATGATTAGTTTCGTAAAAAAAGTCTCAATAGCCAAATGATAATATATTGGTATTGGTTGTTTTCAAATCTTAAGGTTTCTGGTGCAAACTCAGTTATGCAAGACCAATTTTGAGGCCAATTAACTGCAACTAATAGAGTCGGTGGTATTTTTAGAGAGGAATTCTAAGAACAATCAATCAGTCAACTGACATTATACATGAAAGTCATCACCATTGCTCACCTGAGCCGCAGTTACCAGTTTGTCAGGTCTTACACAGCGCAGGATACACATCCTCATGAGGTCCTCGGCCTGTGCGAACGGTGGAGGCATCTGAGCTAACTCTGGATTGGCTGAGTCATAGAACTGCTTCCACACCGACGTGTTGGTCTGTAGACTTGACTTCAGCGCTGTCAACCTGTCGGGAATGATAACAATTAAAACAAAAAGTGCCAACACCGCTCAGTAAATATTAGTTCTAGTTTTACCTTTTGGACACCTTGTCAGGCAGGGATCTAAGGGGGGGGGGGCAACCACCACCCCCAAACTAAAAAAATAATACATATGTAATGATATATATTTATTGATAAGGTCCTAACGGCACTGATTATTTAAATTAACTTCTGGAAGAAAAATGGTTAAACAACAAACTATACATATACAGTAAGTAGGCCTATTATTGTTCATAAAAAATAATTCATCTTGACATCAGTAAGTTGTTATTAAATGTCACATACGCTGTGGATGGTTCTTCCTAAGACTGTCCGTTTTATCAGGTTTTTCTGCAATTGTATTAGTATTGAGATATTATGTAAAATGGCCAGATTGAAAGTGTAGTTTTCAAAAGTTTTGGGGAAGGGCACCCAGATGTTACCAATTGCTGTTAAACATGTGATAATGCCACTACCCACCAAGATCTAGCCTGAAGTTATGTGTTGAAATGATCCAGGAAAGAGACTTCCATCCTTCAGAGTAGAAAATGTGATGGACATTTTTTTAGTCCAAATATGAAATAAAAGTTGAGAGCAGAACAATTCTAAAGCCTTATATGTCGGTTTCGCTAATGAAATCAGCTGTTTTTAGTCAAGACGATTATATTAATGATCACAAACAGCTGTGTCCAGTTTCCAACAATTGAAATGCAACTGACTTTTGTCAGGATCAAACTGGCAACCTTCTGATTACAAATTATTAGTTGACTAAGCCAAGATATAATAAAACACTTCTTTAATTGCTAATAACACTTCAAAATCATTGCTTAGTCATAAATTAATTAAGCTAATTTATACAATATTTATACTGCTCGATACCCAGGTAAATCGGAAGCTACAACAATCTCATTCCAGCACTTGTCAGAGAGCCAGGCTGGCGCAGGATTAGGATGGGGGTTGTCTAGGGCTACCCCTCCAGTCAGCAGGAACACCAAGTACTCCTCACTCAGCTCTCCCTGTAATCACAGACACATCAAATGTTTTTATAAAAACACTCTGGTTAGGCTGGCGAGGCGACTTGTACGACTAAAAGAATACTATCAAGTACAACAATAAATTCAAGTGGCGCTGGAGTAAATAGTGCTGGCATTGGCTGTGTGTAATGTTTGCCATCAACATGTACCTTGAAATTAACGGCACTCAAAGAAAGGTCTAAAAGACAGTATAAAAAGGACATAAGTATGTTTGTGCAAAAAAATATATTTTAAAGTTTTTTTTCAAGTTTAAAGAAAAATTGCCCAACAGTATAGACTTTATCTTTGTTCGGACGGCTTGGAATCAGACCTTTGGCCGAACATGAACAAGGCTAAACCATCGGAGCTCAACACATAAATGAAAAAATATGTTTCAAACCCACTCATAATGTGTGAAAAATCAGTAAACTAATGTCATATATGAGAACTAACTCGCTAATTGGGGATATTAATTATGTGCGTGGTGGCTGCACTGTCAACATGTGATGTCAACGGCCACTGCTCAACCCTCGCTCTTCTTGAAATAACTGCAGGAATATCCCTAATTAGTGAGTTAGTTCTCATATATGACATCTACAATACCATAAAAGTAATAATATGGTGTAGCTGGTTGTTCTCCTAGTTATAAGAAAATGTCCTAACTACAAAACATTTAAAAACTCCTACCTTGGATCTCTGGATTCCTGTGCACAGTACAAATGAAAACGTGAGTTTATCTTTTTCAAACAGTGATCGGCACACATTGCGGTAGATGCTGTATGTGAAGTAGTTGTTGAGGAACTGAAGCCTTTGGTCCAGATCATCTGACTTCTCACTGTTTTGAATCGCCTTGAAGATAGTTCAAAACAATGTAAAATTAATATTCAGTTTATGTTTAACTTAAATAGTTAATTTAATCAAAATTAACATAATTTTTTCAAATGCATGTTTTAATATTTAATTGAGAAGAAATATTTTTTGATCATAGCATTAAATGCACACAATGTTGCAAGTGACAAAAGTGAGTATTTTCAGAAAACGCAAAAATGTTTCGCCAACGCTGATGCCAACACAGCCGATTTCCCGCGCATTCAATCAGTTGTAAGTGCTGCTAATCTATGTTTTTTGTTAAACCAAAATTACCCCCTTCGCAATAGAGAATATCAATTGCATTTTTGTCCTTTAAAAACATTTAACAAAGGTAAATCTAACCTACATACTGTACCGATTCGTCGTATAAACAACGAACCTGTAGCAGACGCAAACAATAGTCAGCTGATCAATTACCCAGAATTCCATCAAAAAGTAGTAGGGATGGACTAGCCGCCAGCAACGACTGTCCCAGTGTGTTCTGATCCTCTCCCGTGACTAGTCGGAAACCTTTTCGTTCGTTCGTGCAAATTAAATTCATTTCGTCGTCATTTCATTATGACAGGTAATCCAGTAAAACAATGGGCCACTACAAAAGATTCACCTTTTAAGTGCAACACTAAATATCAGTGTGGTAGTGAGCAAGTAAATTCAGTGTAGAATTAAGATTGGTAAATATTATTACAAAAGGTAATGCAGTCTGGAAGAACTTCAAACAGTACCAAGAACGTCCCCTAAGGACCTTTGGGAAGTATTCTTATTTTACAGGGCCCACACAATTATTTATTTAACATCAAGCTTCCACTGCCAAGCTCTGTTTTGTATTTTTATTTTCCAAGTTCTTCCAACCTAGGGGCAACCAAGATTTGTAAAGAATTCACTTTGAGAGCATTGCAAGGAGTAAATATATTTAAATACAAGATTTAAATATATGAGAGTAGAGTTTTTTTTATTTTTTCTTTACAATACTTATGTCTCATGGCCAGGGACTGCTCAGCCTTTGATCAAAGTTTCGGCTACAGTTACAAATTTACTGCGCTAACAGAGGTCAATCAAAAGCCCAAGCTTATCAGTTCTAAGCTTGACTCCCAGGTTGCAGCAAATGTCTCGTGTAGCTTTTAGACTATTGTAACGAGTTAGTTAGCATCAAAAGATGTATACTGTGGAAGCTTGGTTATGTTACCCTAGTTTTATATGCCTTTGGAGCCCAAATACTGAGTATTTGTTGTAAATTCACCTGGTAATACAAGTTGATGAACCACACCAGTGAGTACTGATACATAGGGTCTATGTTGGCCAGTTCTGATATGCACAGGAATAACACAGAGGAATGTTTGGCCACAGGAACGTAAAGGTTACGAGCATGATCAATCTCCTTCTCTGTGCTGGCAGAAATCTCCTGCTTAGCTTGAATTTCTTCAGACAAGCCCTAAAACAGCAGAGAAATATATTAAGTTTAATTCACAAAATGTAGTACCTATACGATAGGAATAGTCAAAACTAAGTTCTGTGGTAATAAATAAATATCCCTCAGGGGCATTGTTTAGTTTTTTACAAAGATAATTCATATTTTTCAGTGTGCGTGCACAATTAAAAATGATGAGCTCATGTAAAAAAAATTAGTTTTCTCCTCCACCAAAATCAACTATAAAACTATTAACCTATAAGATACCGGTAGGCATGCTTGTCTGATCCCAGATATGAATGGAAGACGAATAAAAGCAATACAACGTTAAGACTTAAAAACCTTAATATTAGTGGTAAATCTCAGCTATGAAAATTATGAGGCAAAGCTAGGATGAAAAAATGATTCAGCAAGTTGGTAAACATTTTTGTTAGTTGAAACAATAAACAGATTTTAAACAGGTGTCAGGAAGAAACTGGCAATTCTTGTTTAATGAAATACAGGATGATTTCAATCATTTTTATCACAGTGTTTTTTATGTTGAATAAACTGACCTTAGAAGAGGACAGAATTGATATAGCATTTTCATCTTCCAATATTGTGTTATCAGACGTTGACAGAACATGAAGAATCTTGTCCTCAATATCTTTCAGTTGACGTTTGTTGTTTGCACCCTCCACAATCAGCTGATTCTTCTTCTCCTCCAGCTGTGGTCTTTCTTTTGCCACAACAATGGCTAGCAGCTGATCCTGAAGACCCTGGGTTGTTATCATGAAGTTTAACAAAGTTACCTGAAAAGCAAGTAGATGTATTGATTGTAACAAAAGAAATTTCAAATGGTAGAGTAAAAAGTGTGGCTCTAAGGTTGAAAATATGAAATGTCTAAAATTTAAAAGAGCATAGTAAAGTAAAAACCAGTGTGGAAAAAGAATTTTAGAAGAGAAAGAATCTCAATAAATTTTATATAGACGAGAGTCACCTTGACAGCGAGTTCTGGGAGGTAGTGAGGATTCCTCAGTCTTGTGGTGATGTAGAACCTGAAGTCAGGACTCCACTGCAACTCATTGTCTCCTAGCTTCAAATATTCCACTCCACCCATCTTGAACACATTCTTCAGCAGGATAGGGTCTGATGAAATATAAACATCGGTCTATTAACCCTCAATAAAGTTATCTGTGGTAAATAGATTATGTGTCCTTCAGAGTTCATTGTTGGAGATGGTATGTGTATATGTTGTGGGAAGATTGAATGAAATGGGAAGATGAATCGTTTTATCGCAGAAGCTCCATAACCAATATTTTTTTGCAGTTGTGTCATGTGTGATTTCTACACTGAACGATGTTTCAATTTGTACACCATTATTCATTAATATGCTAAAAAGTCAAAATCGAAAAAAATCTTGGTTATGGGGTTTCTGCAATAAACGATTTAATTGGTGTTTGCGATGAAATATAAATAAACATCGGTCTATTAACCCTCAATAAAGTTATCTGTGGTAAATAGATTATGTGTCCTTCAGAGTTCATTGTTGGAGATGATAAGTGTATATGTTGTGGGAAGATTGAATGAAATGGGAAGATGAATCGTTTTATCGCAGAAGCCCCATAACCAATATTTTTTTGCAGTTGTGTCATGTGTGATTTCTACACTGAACGATGTTTCAATTTGTACACCATTATTCATTAATATGCTAAAAAGTCAAAATCGAAAAAAATCTTGGTTAAGGGGTTTCTGCAATAAACAATTTAATTGGTGTTTGGAAAACAAACCAATTTTGAATGTACACTGATACTTGAATTCAATCTTTGTTATCTTATGTCATGATGGATTCACACATAACAACACCCACAGCTGATCTGTGGAATCATCATATTACCTAGAGTAGCGTCGACCTCCTCCAGTATGTTTTCCAGCAGTACAGGCAGTCCTTGCTCTATGGCCACCTCCATCACTCGCATGTAGTTTGGGTCACTGAGTTTGATTACTGACAGCTTATTGTCCTTTTCCATGTTCTTCACCCACTTGTTTGCCTGGCCTGAGAAACAACTGCAGTTACTTAAGTCTGCTACAAAAAGAAACTTTTTTGGTACATATCTGCTCAACAAAACCTCTTTATGTTTAAACTCCTCATCAGAGATTTGACAAAACCATTTAAACAGTATGTGCATATAGACCGATCAGAAGAGTGTTGGTTCGATCATGTTAAAATACAAATAATTTTGATTACTCGATGACATCAATCAATACCTTGAGGATCAATCATGAGTGGCCAGCGTCGAGCGTTGGTGACAATAATGGCGTTCTCGATGGAGAAAGTGTCAGCAGGAAGTCCATCAATGGTCCAAGACCTGATGAGAACAGGCTCTCCTAGACACCCTGTCATGGAGTAATCTCTAGAGCAGGGGATGCGCAAGTCACGACAGGACTTGCCCCACTGCAGGATAAGGTCCTGATAGGAGTAGGGCTAGGATTAGTCATATTTATATCTGGTAGTAGCTTGTTGCAAGTGGTATCAAAAGAGCTACATGTGTTTTACTTATGCCCAAAAACAATTGAATAGTAATTAGAAGTGAAGCGGATATGTGAGATGTGACATCTGGATGAGTAATTTTTAAAACATTGTGAAAATGTTTAAGTGGACACTTTTGTCCGAAAGAAAATAAATATATTCCATTTGTTTGGTTCTGCTTATTAGGTACTCAAGTTAAGTTAGCAGCTCAGCATATGACTCGTCCTTTTCCTCTTCTCTGTGATTTGCCATTATGCCAATGCCATTATGCCATTATGCCATTATGTCAGCTGACAGCTGGTACAGCGTGTGATTGTGTGTGTGCGCGTGAGTGTGCCTTGGTGAGTATGTGTGCGTGTGTGTGTGTGTGGGGGGAGGGGGGAGTTTTGGGTTGTTAATGGTAGGGGGAAGTCAACGAGTCAATCTGACATCATTATCTATGTTCCTATGCGATTAGCCAAAATTCCGCTAGCGCTTTGTTATCATGCCAGTAATTAGAAGTTTTTTGATTTGTTTTTTAATAAGTATCAAAGTTTCTTTTTCTTTCTTATTAGGCTGCAATATAAAACGACTCACTCCCACGCACGGGTTTTCCCATGTGGGTTTAATTTCGTATACTTTAAGGTATTTAGTTATAGTTCTATTGTAATACATTATTTGTAAAAACTGTAAAACAATTATTTTATACGGAATAAAAGAAATTTTGATTTGATGTTTTGTTGATTATGCCATTTTGATGGAAAATTAGTTTTGCAGCTTAAATACATTATTGTGTCCACTGATGTAAAACTTTTTTGTTTGAGTTATGCTTGCACTGCTTGTATCCCAAATGGCATTAGGATATGAAATACGTAATCTCCATTTATGATCCTTTCTCATCCTAGAAAAATATATTATAACCAAACTGCCTATTCACAACATTCGGTGAAGGAGGCAGAAGTCAGATAACAGTCAATATAGTTTTTAGTTACATAACAAATTTAAGATAATTTAGCAAACTAGTCGCTCACATTCCTGTAATTGACAGTAAATGCTCCCAAGTACGCCACGATGCCAGCAGACAGCAGCACATCACCGACAGCATTGACCAGAGAGAACTGTAGTTGACGTGCTGTCTCACTCCACCGAGCCTTCTCTCCACCCAGACCCCCTAGAACAGGGAATAATCACCATTCTCACTGAACATTGTGCAACAAGACTTAAAGACTTGTTATTCTACACTCAAAGCAATCACAAATAAATCTGGTACTAAATTTATCAGAGTTTTAGTTCGACATTCTACTTTGAAGCAGTGCCAAAAATTAGGAGAATTTAGTACGAGGTCTGACTGAGCGAGGTTGTCAAAATAATAGGGAACGTCTCTGAAAGACTATCAAAAACTACGGTCAGCCCTGGAAGTCTGAAACACGCCCATCAGGGAGCAAAGATTTCTTAAATCACTGTCAGGCCGGAAACTGATGGGCACCCTTTACTAGCCTCATTGTGCAATTGTGGGCTTTTTAAAATTTCCTAAACCACTTATTCACATTTTATATGTAAAAACACTTTTCTACGTACACATCTGTCAACTGGCAACAGGAAGCAGTGGACATTTATCCTCTTCCTTCAGAAATCTAATCATAGAATACGATTCATTCTTAGCGGGAGCGTCTATTTTTTACAACGTTTTCGAATACTAGGACAAGACTAATCGTCCAAGAAGTGTGGGAACTGGCTTAAATAGTAATTGATGAATAAAGGAGTGTGACGTTGGTCACAGCGATTTGAACTAGCTAGTTTGTTTTGTTTGTGACAGAAGCTCTATGAAAACTTCATTTTACAGACAACATGAGTACATGAATATTTTGTTTCAGTATTACATGTTAGTAAGTTGATTTTACATTACCAATAAGCTTTTCCGCTCTGTCCAACCGTTGGCGACACTGATCAATTTGATCCTCGAGTTCCTTCTTTTCTTTGGTCTTGGCTGCAAATTCATCATTCAACGCTTGAAGTTTATCTGTAACCTTTAAAATACAGGGTGACATTATTACAATTCTCCTTATGAAAAAATCAACATTTAAAGTATTTTGGTTTTTTAAAAACTGTTTCTCACTACTTATCGTACCTCTTGCAGTTGAGCTCGCTTCTCATTAAGTTTGTCCATCTGTTGACTTAGTTCCGCCTCGGCCTCAGCCAATTTCGCCTTCTTGGGTCCGACAATCTTGATAACTCGGTCGTACACCTCCATCGCTCGGACCCACTTACAAAGACCCTCGCAAGCATTGGACACGTTCTTGACAATGTGCGGCTGGAAGTCTCGGTCTGGCATGTATCTATTTTAGACAAAAACATATTTTGTATTACTCAAAAGTAATTCTTTTGAATTAACTTCATTGGTTTATTAGATAGTTGCTGTGGATATTGAATAAATTATTATTATTGTTAACTTAATTTATTCTGTTCAATTTATTCATAACAGGAATTAACAATACAGTGGCTGAGGATCACCAATGAATATGACATCTTTATAATAAATTATAGCTTCTTAATGGTTGATAGTCTCAGATTTATGTTAAGCTCCTAGTAATAACCATACAACTACTGTAGCAACTAGTTTAGGTTATTGATTGAAGCATATTTAAGTTATTAGTTGATGATTTATGGATGTACATTTATGAAGTATCCAGGGCCGCATTTAACATGGTGCCATAAGAGCCCGAGCCCACAGCGGCAAATTTTTATGGGTGGTAAAACTGTGCAAAAGACTGAAAATTTTAGGTGAGTGAGGGATATTATTGTAATCGCAGAATGGGTCTGCAAAGGTGTCACAATCAAAAATTCACAATAAGTTGCGATCATGTTTGACGATTATGATGACTCTGCTATTGTGGGATATTTTTATGACTTTGCTGCTTTCATGGCTGTACTGTAGGTGATAATGGTGATATAACCCTGATTTCGCATCACATGGCAAACTCTTATGAGATCTTGAACTTCAAAACAGACTTAAAAATAGGTCAATAAAAACAAGAGTTTTTTAATGAAACAGATTCATTAGAGAGGTCTGAGCTATAAAAGGAACTTTTCATTATTTTCATTAAATTTTATTGCTGTATTTATTGTTTTTGGTGCTCAACTTATATTTTATTTTATATAAACAATAAAACGTTTGCATCTGATATGTATAATTTATACTATAAGCATCCAACTAAAATATCAACAAAATAAATTATTTCTTTTTCGTCCTATTTGACATTTTTTTGTTGCATCACCTTTCCCTGATCTTCTTCATGACGGCAGGGTTTATCTCGTCCTTGTTGTACGCCTTGAGGCTATCTAGGAACTTTAGGTCCCCCAGTAGTTTGAGGGACGGCCCCCAGTAGTCCTCTAGGATCTTACCAGAGCCGCTGGGATCTGGCTTACGTTCTGGCTTGATTCCCTTCATCACACACACTGCCTCCATCACCTGTCAAAATGAAAAATCTTCGTCAATGATTCATAACAAACACTCAAATGCTTAGCCGGCTCGCTGATTGGGTATAGTGCTTGCCTGTAAAAATTTCATGGTTCTATGCTAAGAAAAGTTTGAAACGTTTTGATGGTGCAAAACTAGGCCAATACATCCTTGATCGCTAGGCTTTTAATGAATGATCGTGGGTAAATAAACAGCTGACTCACTTCTTGTTATACTCACCTTGCATTCTCCTCCTCTGCTTGATTACGGACAAATATGTTTGTGTTATTCTTAAAAGTATAATAAACAGGAATACACAAGGGAGGTACAAGTAGGCATACTCCTCAAACTAACAGTTTCATCTGATTACCTACCAGTTTGACGACTGGTGGAGGGTTCTTCATGGACTTGACCACAGTGATGTCAGCTGGTTTTAGAGTGTTGAGAGCGTTGACAGCAGCCTCCAGAGCAGGGATGGCCTCTGCCAAGTCACTCTCACAGTCGTCCTTGATAGCTTGGGCTGCGGCAGCCGCCTCATTGGCCAGGGCCTCGTCCGCTCCTACAATCTACACACAGAAATTTCACACAACCATTGACTTTTGTATGGTATAGACATCCTTGGACTATCTGTAGCACTTTTTTCATCAAGAAGAACAAAGTTAAACAAGCGACTTACAGAGTGTGCTACAGTTTGAGATTATATTTTAAAAAGTAGGCATATTAGACAGAAATCAACAAATCAGTAGCACACCAGCACTCCGACCGATGCATCAGCAGTGCACTCTGCCAAAGGCTTACATACAACATTGTCTTGCACAATCAACTCATTCATTTTCATAACTAGCCACAACTTAAAATGGGAATCGAATGTCTAGTTTTATCCTTGGTGAAAAGCACAATCCATCTTTCAAAATATCTTGCATGTATTCTGGTATCCATTTGTTTGAATCTAATGGAAACAAAGTGGTTTGTTGGTCTTTTTATTGTTGACAAAGTCAAATGTCAATTTTAAGTTGCTTCTTAATTTGGGTCCAGAAGTTTCTTAATCTTGAATTATTTTCCCAAGTGGAGGTGTTTAGGGATAATCTAAGTAAAACTACGACGAAAAACGAATTTAAACTATAAAATAATCAAATTTATTTCTCATTAATGTTTTCATGACAAGGAACAATATTGGACACAAAACAGACAGCTGATATTAAAAACAACATTCATATCATCTGTATGACTATTACAAATAAATAGAAAAGGCAGGCATTTTCAACACTTTCCCTTATTTGCATAGTCATGCCGAGAGTCCAAGATTTTCTCGCAGAACTTGAAGTCTTGGTCGAGGTATAGGCTTCGTCAGTATATCTGCTAGTTGATATTCTGAACCGATGTGCTTTACAATCAGCATACCTATATTTATCCTGTCTCGAATGAACAGGTGCTTCCGCTGAATATGTTTTGTACGAAAGTGAAACTCAGGGTTTTCACAGAGTTTTCTTGCTGATTCGTTGTCAACTTTCAGGATAGGAACAGCAGACAATCCTATAAGTTCTTTGAACAAACGAGCAATCCAGATTGTTTCTTTTGAACCAAGATTAGCTGCAATGATTTCAGCTTCACAAGTTGAGTCCGCAACTAACTCCTGACAACGACTAAGCCAAGTGATAGCTGCACCCGCGTATTTAATAATAACTCCACTTGTTGAACGCATTGTAGTTGGACAACCAGCAAAGTCCGCGTCACTATAGCACTCCAGTAGACGTGTTTTAGGTTTGGATTGGTACACTAGCTTCTGGTCCACAGTGCCGGTCAAATAGCGTATAACACGCTTTGCTCTTGTGACATCATCTTGTGTAGGATTTTCTAAGTGACGTGATAGAACACTTACACTAAATGCAATGTCAAAACGAGTACCACGAGCAACATAAAGTAGGGCTCCAACTGCCGATCGGTATGGAAAATCGGAGGCTTTCCCTGGTGTTTGAGCAGTGAGCTTCTCTATGGGAGTAAGTACTGGCATTGAGTATAAACCTAACCTAACCATCGGGTTAGGTTTATACTCAATGGTACTGGCTTGCATCCTTCCATGTTAAATTGAGAAATGATCTTCTTGATATACGCTGATTGGCAGACCAATATGTTAGCATCACTTTGAGAAATTTCGAGTCCTAGAAAGTATGACACTTCTTTAGCAACAATTTCAAATTGTGAACGAAGTTGGCCAATAAATAAGTCCATTTCAGTCTGACTAGTCGCTGCGACTAATCCGTCATCAACATAGAGTGCAACGATGATTTTTCCAGCAGGGGTAGGACAAATGTAGACGCAGGGATCTTCACGGCTCTGTCGAAATCCTAAGCCTTTCATGAAGTCGTCAAACCGTTTATTCCAGCATCGAGGTGCCTGTTTCAGGCCGTATAAGCTGCGTTTGAGACAACAGACACGATTTGTCCCATCTGAATATCCTTCAGGCTGCTTCATAAAAATCTCTTCTTCAACGTCTCCGTACAAGAACGCAGTTGAGACGTCAAACTGCCGTAGAACCATCTTCTCAACAGCTGCGATGGACAATATTGATCGAACGACCTCCAGACGAGCAACCGGGCTGAAGGTTTCGGCATAATCAATACCAGGTCTTTGCGCACATCCTTTGATGACCAATCTCGCTCGATATTTGTCAACACTTCCATCAGGATTGCGCTTTATTCGGTAGACCCACTTGTTGTTGATAGTCTTCTTTCCCGGAGGGAGTTCGGTCAATTCCCATGCACCGTGTTTATGCATGGACCCCATTTCTTTGTCCATTGCTGTTTTCCATTCAGCACTATCTTCTGAACTGATGGCTTCAGTGTAAGACTTAGGTTCATCGTCAACAAGAAGAACTTCGGCAAAGTTAGACGAGACGTAATCGTTTAGCCACTCGGGTTGCCTTCTTTCCCGAGTCGAGTGCCGAGGTGCAGGATCGTTGGATAACTCTCCATCTTCACTATCACTGCTACTTGACGGGTCCTCAGTCGGTATAGGCTCATCATTACCCTTCACTGGAGAACTAGGCTCGTCAATAGTCTCTTCAACTTCTTGCCAATCTTCTTCGATGTCATTGGTTTTATCAATCTTGATAGGCCACTCAACTTTCTTGTCACAGTTTCCGACGATTTCGTGAAAAACGACGTCACGAGAGACTACGATATCTCTTCTCTCCGGGACGTAGATTCGATATCGTTCATCACCATCGTATCCAACCAGGTAACCAACCACAGCTTTCTTGTCCATTTTTCGCCTCCTCTGAACAGGAACATGGACGTAGCACTTTGAGCTGACCACTCGCAGATGTTTGATCCTCGGCTTTTGACCAAACCAGAGCTCAAAGGGTGATTTGTTGGCAACTGCTGACTTTCCCACTCGGTTCAAAACGTAGCCAGCAGTGATGACAAGTTCCGCCCAGATCGCTGCAGGAAATGTTACATTTGGATTGGCGTACTTGAAGGTCCGGGCCATTTCGACGATCGTTCTGTTCTCTCTCTCTACAGCACCATTTTGCTCGGGTGTATACGGCGCTGTCAGACGTTGGTTAACACCATATTCTCTAAGGATTTGACGAACTTCAGCGTTGTCAAACTCACCACCGTTGTCGCTGAGAAACTCTTTGACGTGATGACCAATTGTGCGTGCTTTAGCCAATACTTCACGCAACGCTTCCTTCACAGCAGATTTTTCCCTTGCGACAAAACAGTATCGGTACCTTGAAAAGTGGTCTTTTATGACGATCAAGTATCGGCGACCTCCGAAGGATGGGTCAAACGGGCCGCAAACATCACCGGATAACAACTCACCGGGGGCTGAGGGGCGTTTTCGTGTTCCGAATGGTAGACGGTGTGCCTTTCCGAACTGACACGGTTCGCAGATCTCGTAGTTGGCTGGCACTTTGATACCCATTTCGGATTCGAGCTTCGATCGGACGTAGCGTTTATCCATGTGACCCCAGCGCTCATGATATAACTGCAGAATGCGATTGTCTTCTGCTGCATTAGCGCAAACCTCAGATGGTTGTACTGTGTAAAATGAGGCACGATACAAAGTTCCACCACAGTTTCGAGTACCTTTGAATACAGTTTGTTCGTTAATAGTGAACCGACACTCGGTATTAGTCGATTCAAACCTGCTATTAGGGTTTCGATCATGAGCTGCGAGAATGGACACTAAGTTCCGAGAAACATCAGGAAAATACCAGACATCATTGAGTGTGAACGTTTCCAGTTTTCCATTTTCATAGTTCGCTACTTCAACGACTCCACTGCCAAGAGCTTTTATAACTTCCTTTCCCGCCGCCTTTACTGTTGCGTTCGAGTTTGCAGGAAAAGGTTTGTACTCCGTGAACCAACTCAGATTTGACGTAATGTGCCGCGTAGCGCCATTGTCGATCCACCACTGGTCGTTCGTGGTCACGATATTCATGTCACTGCTGATGGAAATCAGCGCACTTGGGTTGTCGGTCACGTTAACTTGCGAGCCCTTCGTTCTCTTCTTATCAGTGTCACTCGCTTTTGAACTAGTGCTAATGCCGTTAGCTCGAGCTGGATACGCAGGCTTGCCGTCAGCTTTCCATTTAGAACACTGGCGAATCCAATGACCTTTCCCCGAACAGTATTTGCACGAAGTGTCACCTTTTGGTTTCCTATTCTTCTGACCACCGCTGTTTGTGGCACTAAGAATGTCACCAGCTTTTGAAGTAGGAGCAACATTACGCTCATGAAGGATCAATGCAGATGAAACATCTTCAAGTTTCTTGCTCTCGTTTGCCTTCATAAGTAAGTAGCTAGACTTGAACGATTCAAAACGCTTCGGCAAAATGTGTAACACTTTTGACACAAACAGGAGCTCAAGAAAATCTTCGACTGTTTGGATGTTACGCGTTTTGAGGCCAGCTGCAAATTCGCGGTTTTGATTCTTCAATCTTGAAAGCACGGTCGGGGCATCCTCGGTATCATCCCATTCCATACTGAAGAAATCCAAACACTGACGAAACAACTGATCTTCTGCCTTGTTATCGAACTGCTCGATCAAAATGTCCCACGCTTCCTTAGCTGATAATCTTCCGGAAATACGTTGATGTAGATCATCACTAACGCACTGAGAAATAACTATTTTTGCCTGAGTCGTGGATTTGTTGAATTTCTGAAGTTCTTCCTTTTCGGCTTTAGTTGGAGGCTCAGAGAGGGTAGGCTTTTCTCTCTTTCCCTCGACGATATCAACCGCGTCGAACAACTCTAGAACGTCCAACACTCGATCTTTCCACGTCGGCCAATCTTCTGCTCCTTTCAATGGTTTTATACCTTTCACGTACTCCATTTGTAGAGCTGGACGAACTCGATCGAAAGATATACCAATTGAGACAGAAAAATAAGTCAGTATAAATTGTTCTTACCGTGTACGTAGTAGACTAGATTTCCCAACACTGTTATGTACATAAAACGATGCTGGCGACCATAATTTCTTGAATTATTCTCCCAAGTGGAGGTGTTTAGGGATAATCTAAGTAAAACTACGACGAAAAACGAATTTAAACTATAAAATAATCAAATTTATTTCTCATTAATGTTTTCATGACAAGGAACAATATTGGACACAAAACAGACAGCTGATATTAAAAACAACATTCATATCATCTGTATGACTATTACAAATAAATAGAAAAGGCAGGCATTTTCAACAAAGCCAACTTACTTTTGTAGTATTGCTACTATAAAAAAAAGTTCACTAAATGACTCATGTCCGAGTTTCTAATAGTTGATTCTAATATAATACCGTTTCCTCTCTGTTTACTGATAAAGAGGTACAGTGTGTAGTAATTGTAACATTCTTTCGCTCTCCTGGAAGTTTAGTTTCTCAAACTTTACCTCTTTCTTGGCCTCTACAATAACCGTGTCTTGTTCTATTTTGACCATCAGTTTCTCTGTGGCCTCGGAGGTCTTGACCAGTTGAGGCTGCAGTTTGTGGAGTTCATCCTGCATCAATGCCACCTAGAAAAAAAACCAGATTATTAATGTGATGGACAAATCAAGTGTTTACCGTTTCAGCTGCTGCTGCTACTGGTTGTATATGAAAGAACATGTTAAAATTGTACTGTATGTCTTCCATAACAATTTTTCCAGCCTAGAATCCATGAGCATGTTGGATAAGGAGAGAATAACAAGGATAAAACCTTTTTTCTACAAGACTCAAATATTAGTGAGGTTTTATTTTTATCCATTGCATAACAAACTACTTTAAACAGGGTATCGAAGCTTACTCATTGGTTCCATAATTTAATCCTCTACTAATTGTAAGTTTTCTTTAGTTTAAATGCTTTAGCAAATACATGCCTAATAAAAATGTCTAGATAAATATGTATATAGTATTTTGCTAATTAGTTATGTTTTGGTACAAAAAATGTTGATATGAAACAGAAGACGCAAATAATCTCACCTGACCCGCAGCAAAGCCTAGCTGTTCCAGCCCAACCTCGTATCTGTTACGCATACTTGTTATTTGTTCTACCTTTCTTTGGTAAAGGTTTTGAAACGTCAATATGAGCTCCAGGTATGAAGTGGGAGTGACATAGTTATGGCGTTTCAACTCTCCATAGAATCTAAAGAGTGTAAAAGACGATTGTGGTTAAGCGTTCGGCTCATGACAAAAATAAGTTATAACACAGAAGACCTGAATTTTTCATTGAGTAATTCAACACGTAAAACTATAGCCTACATCTTTTACATGATGAGATGTCTTGAATGATTTTATACTATGAGTGTGTATGAGGAGCAACCTGGTCTAGAGATCAATTGTGAAGCTACAGTCGCCAAGGTCCCAGGTTCAGATCCCGGCAATCACCAAAGGCTTTTTGAGCAAAACTGTTCTGGGCTAGAGTACTCAATGGGATAGAGTACTAGAGTAATGGATGTGAAGGTAAGGTAGGACATCAATCAATATTACGCCGTTTGTGTGTAAAACACATTGTAACATTGGCCCTTCTAGAGCATATAGTTTGGTTATCAATCTAAATGTGTAGGTTTTAACAAACTACATTAACGATTAAAATAAATATTTCACTCACATTGAAGAAAGAGAAAAACTTGGTTAACTAAATTAACAGTCAAAAAGTTTGGCTTTGTTTTCAAACCAGTTGAGTTGAACCAACAAAACAGTGTGTTCAAACCAATAAAAAGAAACTGAAATAGTGTAATTCTATACAAAAGTGTTCCATAGGATAGGATTATAGGTGTTAAGTGAGACACTTTAACAGGTTATGGAGTGTCAGACAATCGAACCTATACATTTACCCCTTGATGTCATGGCACAAAAGACATAAGCTGTGAGTATAGAAGTATTCAATTATAAAACTATATTGCATAACATTTGACATCTAATGGTATGCATTTCCTACCTAAGTGAAGCATCCTCAACAGAGGTGTGGAAAGTCTTGCAAAGACTAACACATTTCAGGCTGATATTGTTGTCCAACTCCATCTTGGATAGAAAGGTTTCTGCCACTCTCTCTAGGGCGTCCTCAGGCCATGTTGTGAACCTAAGATCAGTCGAGAAAAATTATCAGACTTGAATTGACTGCTAATATTACAATCTGCATATTAGTCTGACAATAATATCATTAACACCTTTAGCTTAAAATAACCAACTGGATAAGAATGTTTTTCACACAATAACAGTTGCACCGATTTAAACATTCAATTTTTTTATGAACTATATAAAATTTAATGACATTATTGATGATGATGCTTAGTATAACTACCGGTACTTTAAAATAATTATTGACTGAATATTAAAAACATTTAGCAAACCAGTCAATTGTGCAGCAATTGATGAGGGAAGGAAACATTCTCAACCGGTTGCGGAAGTTGTCTCCAATGGGACTCATAGCCAACACAATGTGAAGATTTGCCTTGACTCTCTCTAGAAACAGGTTGTACAGAGCCAATGGAGTTGTGTCTGTCTTCTTGCTCTGAAACAAACATATGCATTTCGGTGATGGTTATTTTTTTTTAGCTCTTCTTTCTGAATGAAAACATAATTATAATTGTGGATCAAAAGATATATTACAGTTTGAATAATTACTTTCTAATTGGAAATTTCCCACATGTTTTAAAGTAGTACACCATATAATATCTTTCTGTGGTTTCATTTTAGAGTTTCATTTGAATAAGTTGAGTATACTAGCTACTTTAAAAAATTTGGGAAATTTTTCAACCTGACACCATTACAACTTCTATCTTTGGGTTTTCAGGAAAGTTTGCATGCACATCTGCTAGTACACTTACCAATGTTAAGGATAATTCATATATCGGCTAGATTTGTACCCCGTGATGAGTATTCCACACATCGAACTGTTTGCAGACTTACGGACAAAACTATCTTAGTTCCATTTTATGTGTCATTTATAAGTTTAAGTTGCATGTAAATAAATACTCCAAGACTTATTTATAAACACCTTATGTGTTTCTAAGAGTTATTAATAAAAGTATCTAAGTTACAATAGTGAGAGATATTTTAACTATTCTTAATGATCACCTAGGACTACCAAAACCATCAAAAAACGACTCACAGACTCCCTAGCAATTTCTGTCATCTTCTCTAGGATCTCAGCCTTCTCATCTCCAGCGTAGAGATTAGGCACATCTCCGGTGTTGAGGATCATGTTGATGTCCTCTATGAACGCCTCGTCGCGGATCTGCGTGTCGCAGAACAAGAACACCTGTGGTTTTCCATCGCAGCCAGCTCGACGTAGCAGCTTCTTGACGTCCTCCCGCCACTCTAGCATGCCGTAGTTGCGAACTATCTCTATCTGAAGGCAAACCAGAGAGATGATCAACTAGTGTATACTAATAGTCTTATATTTGAACAAAAATAGTTTATAATTTAATAAATTTAACTACCAACTCCGTTATTCAATTAAATCTTTGTTAGATTGACAAGGGTCTGTTGCTGGTCTAGCGGTTAACATCTCGGACTTCGGTGTGGGAGGGACGGGTTTGATTACCGTTACATCCACAACACATATGGGTTTGGACCGCTTTCTCTAAAAAAGTTTAAGTACTTCATCCTCTGATTTCTCCAGTAAAAAAATCCACTGACATAAACAGCAAGAAAAACCACTTATGTCGAAGTTTAAAAAAAGTGTGAAAAGATAAAAATGTTTAAGTTACACATGAGAGGATGTAAGACCAATGTGAATGCCAGGCTTCAAAACCAAGTTGGAGAGTCAAAAACTTACTCAGGTTTTAATGGTCATACAGACTAGGTGTGATTATTAATTACAAATAAAATTAGAGTTTTGTCTGTACATTGTCTTACACCAAATTTGTTGTGTCGTCACTTCTCAAAACAGTTGCATCAAGGTTATTCTACTGCCAAAACTTTACCTGGAAGAGCACATATTGTGCCATAGCAGTGGCCAGCTTGGTGGCACTTTGTCGTCCACTGCCGCCAATGCCGACTAGCAGAGCGTGGCCATTGTCCTGCTGCAGGATGCGACTAATACGAGAGATGTGCTCGATGGCAAACTTGAACATGACGAGAGACATCTGTGTCCGAGACAGTGTGTTGTACTCATCTAGGTAGTACTGCATCCTCTCAGTTAACAGCTGTAGGTCTGTCACCTGATAAAGTCACCCAAGATTATATTGTAAAGAAGGATTCAGATCACTCATTGTGTATTCATTCAAAAGTTAAACATTTATTCCAGAGTATCTACTTAGTAAGCATGCAAAAAGTAATGGGTCAGTCTACATTTTTGGTTTCCTGGTGTTGCAACTATAAGTTTTTTCTTCTTTTTTTATACGCCAGTGGCATTTTTTATTAAAGTCAATGTGAGAATAAACGCTGTAAGTTATTCGGTTGTTACAAAATTTTTAAATTTTATACATTTAAAAAATATCCAGGACCTTTTGGCCGCATACTTTGAGGATTACATCAGGGGAATTTGGATATTAACCATTCCCAACATGGGAAATTTGCTCTCTGTGAATCACTGCTTTACCAAAAATCTGCCATTTAAAATTTTTTTTGGTTGAAAGTTTTAGAATATCATTTTAGCGATTTTTCTTCAAAGTAGAGAACGATTAAAACACAAATATATGTCCAAAAAGTAATTTTAAAAATTGAAAATTATGTAGAAAGCAAAAAAAAAGTTAAAAGTTTCAGAAGTTATGGAGTATTTTGGGGGTGAAGGGGTGCGACTTTTGGAAAACTCCAGAGAGAGTTTTGTAGAAAATTTAATTCCTGAACATGAAAATTCTTTCGATTCTTTGATAGCTCTTATCGTTTTTGAGTTATAGCCATTAAAAAAAAAACGTGGTTTGTCGTTTTCAGATGTCCTCCACTTAGGAATTTTGGGGTGGTTAATATTTGAAAAAATATAGTTCTACAAATTGTTGTTATAGTTCAAGGCCACTATCTACATCCTTGCCAAATTTTATCTCTCTATCACGTTTATAAATGGTTAAGAAACAAACACAGCCACTTTCAAGCTCTTATTCCCTAACATGGGAAACTGTTAAAGCCTCATAAACGTTGTAAATTATTTCAAATTTTGACAATTAACTTAAATTTTAGGGGTCAAGGAGTAAGGTTATGAAAAACATGTAATGACTGAAATTTAAGGTAAACTACTGAGAGTACAAAACATTTACAATTACTATTACTTAGGTAGGAAAAAGTAGCGAAAACCATTTAAAATCTGAATAAAAATTGCCAATTTTTTTAAGTAGGGCGTTTTTTGGGGTGAAGGGGTACAATTTCAATAAGGTTTTTGTAGAAAATTAAATTCCTGGCCATGAACATTTTTTTCAAATCTTTTCTATAGCTCTTACCGTTTTCTAGTAATAGCCGTTTAAAAAACGTTGCTTTTGTTATTTTCAGATGATTGCCATTTTAAATTTTGGGAAGGGTTAAAATTTGAAAATGTGACTTTTGGAAATTTTACCGTTAATTTAAGATAAAGTACTAGAAAGCTGACAAATTTCAAGCCTCTAACCCTTTACTAAAAGGTTCAGATGAGCATAAGAAAGTCGGTAACTTTCTAAGAATAACATGGGAGAAAAACACAATTTCAGGGGGGTTAAAATTTGAAAATGTGGCTTTTTGGAAATTTCCTGGAGGTTTGGGCCCAAGACCAAGAAGCGTGCCAAATTTCAAGTCCCTAGCACTTCTTGAAGTGGTCTAGAATTTGTATCCCTTAGTTTCACAAGCGGCTGTATAGTATTTAGAAAGAATATTTAGATGTTTAAACAATTCTGTTGTAGATTAGTACATTTTTATAAATTTTATTGCTGTTTTTTTTTTATTTGATCAGATTTTCTGATTTGTTGATTGTACAAGCAATTTGTATTCGTGATAATTACTTAACATAATCAAGACATACAATTTTGTTGAAGTTTCCCAAGATCAGTATTACCTCATCGTAAATCTTAGGATCCGCGTCTGGTTCCATGTAGTTACCAAAGAAGAGAGAGCGCAAGTGGTCAACCTGTAACTTGGCCTCACCCTCTGGGATCAGGTCTGCCAACAGCTTGTCAAGGGGTGTGCGGATATGTCGCTGGCAAGCAGTCTTGACAACATCGAAAAGCTTCTCTCTAGAGTGGATGAATGTGTTAACAAGATTGAGTTTTGGTTGGATATTGTACTTTCTGCAATTCAGTAGTGTCTTTAATTGTACACATAGTTTGAACATTTTTAGTGTAACTCATTTAATGCTTTCTGAATTTGCCTGTTCTTACCGAATTGGTAATGTTTTAAAAAATGAATGATATGCCATCAAATCCTAGAAAGGGCATTGGGGATAAATGGTACCAAGCTGCGTTAAACAGTGGAATATATGATTCTTCTAATATTGTGACTAACGATAACAGATAATATAAATCTGCAATAAACACAACTAATTTATTTCCAGACTGAAGCATTTTGGTGATTTACAAATTATACTTATTGTTTCCGAGAATAAAGTTTCCCAAAGAGTCTTTGGTCATTTATCACACAAGAAGTAGGTATCAGATAATATGTAACTAGAATAATAGAAGTTTACAAAAACAGATGTTGGAGCTCCAAAATAAAGAGTAGGCGATCAATGTTTGAAGAGATAAAAGTCCTGTCAATTAGGATGCTGTGTGTTGAGAGATGAGGGAAGGCTCAGAGTCACACAACATTCCACAATATACTAGTGATATTGAATTAATCCACGTTAATTGTTGGGATGACCGTACAAAAGTAACAAAAGCCACACTCGTCGGTGAAGGGTGTGCATCCAAATCCCGCTCGCCATTCTAATCGACATTATCTAATACTCGAAGGAATTATGAAAAGTGTTTCACCTGTCCTCCTGATCCACCAGTCTGTCGTAGAAGACTCTGAATGTCTCGTGGACCCAGAGTCTCATGATCTTCTCCTGATCGGCAATGCGGAAAGCAGGCACCAACAACACACCGTGGATCACTCTGGCAAAGTCTCGCAAGTTGAACGTGTAGTGTGACTTGGCTGGGATCGGCAAGAATGACAGCATCGCCATCTGGTAAACCTCCATTGTGGCGCTCACTATTGGCTGAGGAAATATTGACAAATGAAGGTGTCTTGTAATGCACATTGCTATATAAATGTAAACCCTTATATTGACTACATTGTTTTATAATTTTGTTCAAATTAAAACATTTGCTATAGTTTGTTTTTACAACAAAGTTCTAAAAAATAAATTTTAAAATTATTTCAAAGCATTAATCCGGTCAAATGAGGTGTTAAAGATCATGGATTAATAGAAAACACCCTTGAAGTTCCTTTATAATTTTATCTCCTTCTGAGCAATGGACAAATTTTAGATTTCAACTAACAGCAAAGCCACAGGACAGCAATGCAACAATTAACTGGGTTTATACTAGTATGGAATGTAGTAACTGGTCAATAGGCTTTGGTCTATGAGGCCCGGGTTCAACAACCACCAATCATCAATGCCTTTAGCCATGTGATAATGCTGTGACCCTCCAGGTCTTGTGTGATGTAATGTGTAAAACAGTTATAGGACGTGTTCTAACATCCTATGATATGAAGGAAGTATACAGATAATAACCTTGTTTTGGAATGTACAAGCTCCAACTTCTTTTGAGCTCAATAGCAGTCATACATTCTGAAAAGAGATTTTTAAACTTGCTTAAGCTAAAAACCTCAACGCAATTTTTTTAATACAGTTTGTTTTTTATGTTATAGTTCATTTGATATATTTCATACAAAAGAAACTGTCTTCATTTCAGCACAAAAAAGAGAGCAAACCTAATTTAGAGGTGATTCTGTCAGTTGATACGATGTATTTCAAATGCCATAGCCCAGAAACCTACCTTCCCTAATCGAGAAACTTTTTCATCAAAGCCTTTGTTGAAGTGCCATTCCATGATGCTGTTGAATATTTTGCTGAGGGTCGACTCGTCAAACACATCAATGCTGATGATGTTCATGTGTCTTATGAAACGGGATGTTACCAAGTTAGAGCCTCCTCCTGCGGGCTGCATAGCTCCGACAAACAACTACCAAGGCAGGACAAAACATGTTTAGCAAACTTCATATAATATAATGTATGTATATAATAATACTTTATTGACTTCACAATTTGCCACAAAAAAAAGTAAGTATCAACATTACAGTATCTAAGGTTTAGTTTTAATATAAACTCTTTATAGGCCTAATTTCATTTTTTTTTTATTTTGATGCGTTTTTCCATTGAAATCTTCAGTGGAATGGATATTTAGGAAGAGTGTACATATAATGCTCACAATATCGACGAGGTCCAACCGCGTAGTGTCCTTTAGGTCGTACCAATGACCGTGGTCAATCCACTGCCGCAGCAACTCTATAGGAGGCTGTGCTCCATACGCCTCCTTGAGCGGCATACTGACGTCGTCCACAAACAATACACAGTGCTTGCCCATCGCTGGGCCAAACACACCCTTGCGACGTCTGCCAACAAACATTGAGACATAAACATTATGTTTACAGCTTGTGAAAGTGAAATAAAAATAACTAAAAACCATCAGTGATATTTTCACATCATGAAGCAATTTGGCTTGGACAATTTCTTAAAAAATACCTTTTACAATCCATAAATTGGATTAGGTAGGATTTTAATACAGTAGACTCCCTCTTATCCGGACACCCTTTAACCGGACATCGGTTTAACCGGACTACACTCAGCAGAAATTACATCTCTTTAACCGGACAATTTTTATCAGCACATTTTTGGTTTAACTGGACTAGATCGGCAGGAAGTAGGCAGTACTGTACTGAAACGATGTTCTCGTGGGAAAGATTTGAGACCAGTGATCACGTGCCTAAATACAATGCTCTCATAAATTTAAGTCGAATATCACAGTAAACAGTTTGTTTTAACGAGTTTTTGAGGACGTCGGTTTAACCGGAAAACCAGTTATCCGGACTGGCCTCTGTCCTGAGGAGTCCGGATAAGAGGAAGTCTAATGTAATGCTGTCACATTACAGTACATCTTACAAGTGATGATGACTGAAACATGAGGGTTGAAATTATGAGGTTATAGTAATGTTTCTGACTAGGATCAGCTGGAACTTAAAAAAGAAACTAAAAACTGACAATCAGGAACAGCTGGGTCCAGTTTTGAACCATCAAAATGCTTCTGCATTTTCCCAGGATTGAACGTGCATGATATTAATAGTCAAAGATGATACCTTGAAGAAAAAGTGCTAGAAATTTCCTGAAGTAGATTGGTTTTTAATTTTGCTGTGAAACATGAAGTCTACTTCTAGGTGACTTTTAGAATCCCTCATTGAAAACTGTTAATAAGCCCTTGCATAAATTGTTTTTCAGAATGTTTCTTGTTTACTTTAGAAGAATACCCTAAAATAGCAATGACTTTTTAAAAAAATTGAAAAATCCTGAAGGGGTAAATTTTGTGAAAAGGGAAAAGTACAAGGGTAAATTTGAAGTATTACAGTATGTGGGTTATGTTATGTATTAATAGTCAAAGGTAATGGTTTCAAGACTGGCCAAAGACCACTGAAATGTGGCTTAATTAATAGTTTTTGGTTAAATTAAATTATTATTGTTATTTTTTTTATTATTATTTGGGGCTTATTTTATATTTTTTTCTTTTGTTTTAAAATACTTTGGTAAAAATGGCTTTAGGATGACTTTTAGTTCTTGTGATACCAGATATGTTTTGTTTTAATATCTTATAGAAAATCAATTACACATCTCTAGTTAACAAAATATTAAATAATAGACCTGTCAAGTTTTGACATTATTATTTCTTGAGTCTGGTTCGCTGATGTTCTTGCTGAGAAGTTAATCACATTGGCAATGAACTTCTCTTTCGGAAGATTGACTAAATAGTTGAGAACAATGGCTGACTTTCCAGTGCCGGTCGGGCCCACAAACAAAATAGGAATGTTCATTGCCAAGTATGTTCGTAAGAAGAACCTCTGAAGAGCAGTCTCGTCTGTTTGAATTATTAAATCAGTCACCTGAAACACAAATACAAGAGTGAAGTTCTGACAGAAACACAACTTGTCAACCTTTTGGATTTACTAAACACACATTTTATCAAGTTCAGTTTCATTTCAATTAATATTTTAAATATAGCTATAGTACTTATAACTGTCAACTACATCCAGACCTTGGCTGTGGGAGAGAGGGGTTGAACTTTGTCAACTGTCTCCATCCAGCTGATCCAGCAGCCGTTGTTCTTCTTGTCATAAATCCAGTCCCAGACCGTGCCTTTCTCAGGAAACAGCTGGTGCTTGTTGAGCTTGAACTTTACTGGTTTGGGATAGTTAGGCTGTTCTCCAAGTAGAATGGAACGGTAGAACACATCAAAAAGCTTCTTACTCTCTCCTGTAAAGTATTCACAATAGAGCAATGAAAACGTTTTAAAGGTAGACTATAAAATAATAAGCTGCAAGATTTGTAAATTCTAATAATCATGTTATAAAGTAATAAGTAACCATAGAAGTGTACCGTGAAATAGTTACCAGTGAGTGTGGAGCCTATACCCCACAACAGGGAGAATAGAAACACACACTGTAGCCATTGAGTGCTGACTCCACTCTGGGACTCTCCCTCCAGCATACACGTCATCAGACGAGTGAAGCTCTGGGACAGATGAGGTAAGAGTAAGAACAAAAAAATCACATGGTATGAAAAAAACAAACCATTAGTAAGGTAGATTGGCCGTTGCATTATTATTAATTATATACAGATTCGAGCCAAAAGGCAAATTTAACTCTGAGAATATTTATCAGATATCAGTAATAGTATAATATCGAATACAATTGGTAAAACCTAAGACTAATATGTGAGGAAGACAAAGGAACCAGAGTTGTAGTAACATATACTGTCAAAAAATTTAAGTTATATTTCAAAGTAAAGCCAATTGCCTAGTAAGGTTTTTTTGGAAAATGAAAAGAGTTCAACTAGATTAAATGAGAAAATTAGAGTCCATACACGGTAAAAGAACACTAAACATGACACTGATATTTTGTCCTACTCGATACTACACTCTCCTCAGCACACTCTCTAAAGAATTCTTACATCAGGAATTTTTTTCAAGTAAGCTAACTGAACTCTATTCCTGTTCAAAAATCCCTGTCAGAAAATTAAATCATCGAAACATAAAAACAAAGAAACCAACATGGAAGAGGTGTAAGTCGGATGTTTCAATGAACAGTTTGCAGTTTTGGTGTATAAAGGTGAGGCATGATGGGACGAGCCAATCCACAAGCTCCTCTAGTAGCTCATACTGTTCTGGAAGTATCTTCTGCAGCAAGATAGCAGAGTAGGAGTCCATGAGTGGCCGCCAACCCAGGGTCTTGGGCTCCAAGTAAATCATACCTGGCACAAGGGACAGTTTGAATGTACCAGTAGTTTATTCTGAATATACTAAAAGTTGATACAACAGCTTCTAGGCTACCATACTGATTGATACTGACAACAAAAATTAACATACCACATCTTGAGACAGTAGCTGGGGATGCTTGTTCCAAATCTGCTGGCTCAAAAATCATATTCATTTTATTTGACATCTGCAAAAAAAGAATTACTGTAGATTAGTTAGTTGGTAATTGCAAGTTTCATTTTTAATAGAAAAGAGTATCTGAAGACTCTATTTTTACTTGTATTGCAATCACGGCTTCAGCTGTAATAACAGAGCTAAAGGTATCTAGTGTGTTTATCAATTGTTATTGGGAGAGTTGGTTGCGCTATGAACTTCAAAACCAAGGCATGTATGTTGTTGATTTGCATTCCCAATGCCACCACTGAAAATTTATCAGTAAAGTTCATTTTACAATGTAACAGCTCATCCCTTGAACTGCTTGATGTGTTCAATGCACAGGCCTGAGGCTCATGTGGACATGTTAACGCAACACAAGATTACAATGCATAATGGGAAATCTCTTTCAAGTATGTTGAAAACATGAATAAAGTAAGTATAAGTTAAAATGTAGGTTATTCATTTGCTCAATTATTTAGAATGCTTAGGACAAGTTTGGTCCTAAGAAATATTTCAAACACTTTTTAAAGAGCCTGACACCAAAAAATATCAAAAAACAGTTTTAAGCTACAAGTGATCTGAACAAACCTGGATGATTTCTCCTGACATGAGACATAGTTTCTTGTTGTCATCAAGGACTGTATTCATGTTTTCTATCCACACTGCATCTACGGGACCATCAAACATGATCCATTTTCTATCTGGCATTGTGTTGGTTGCAAATTCTCTAAATGTGTTTGCAAGTATTCCTACAACACATTAGCAGATTAATACTACCGGTACATGTAAAAAAATATTTGGAAATAAAATTTAAATACCATACAATAAAACCTCAAAGTTTTGGACTCCGCTCTTGGACTAGCATTTCCCCTATGACTTGAACAAATTGATGCCAATAGGTACCTCACAATAACTGAATTATTTATGCTAAGTAAAATCTACAGGCTACCACAACTGCATTCTACTTTCTACAAACAGGTTAATCTTACCATCAGACCACTCATGAGATGCAGGATCAAACTGTCCATAAAGTTGTCCCATTGTTATGGCTTTGGGATTTATAATTCGATAATTCACCTTAAACTCCCCCATCTTTGATTTCTTGTTAGCATTTATATCAGTCAGTGCCTCTGCTAAACTCTGATACCCACAAGTCTTTCCTCCCATTGGCTCTCCAACAATCATTAGTCCGTGTCGTACCAGTATCATCTCATAGATTTGTATTATTTTCCCTAGATACCAACTAGAAGCTTGCAGATTACGAGCTGCTAACTTAACCTTCAAAGCTTCAATCAGCTCATCTCTGTCTAGAGCTGGTAGCTCAACTCCAGGGAACAAGTCTTTGTATATGCCTTCAAACAGAGGGAGATCCTGAATGAGGAACTTGGGTAAATTAACATCAATGATAGCTCTGAGAACAATTACTGCCTCGTCATGATCAGGGTACTTCAACTTCAGATTTCCTGCAGCAGTCAACACTGATTTTACTGCTCTCATACCATAGTCATAGTGGCTCTGTGAAGACAACTGCTCTGAACACAACTTATAAGTATCGACAATCTTCTCTGCCAGACTTCGAGCAACAACAAAACCCATAGAGTAAAGAGATATCTCTCCTATCATAGCGTAGTCTGGTACCATCATGGCAACAGTACGGAACAAAACTTTCAGGTTGTCGGGTAACTCTTGTCTACCCGCATAGCCAGGATTCATAGTAATAAACATTGTACATGTCGGGTTAAGTGAAATTTCGGTACCTTCAAAAAAGAATTTTTCTTTTTTCTGAACAATAGCCATCTGAATACTATGCACCTGTTGGGCAATGACTGACAATACTTCCAGCTCTATGCGATTGAACTCATCAAAACATGCCCATGCTCCTGACTGTGCTAATCCCTTAAAGAATTTGCCCATCGCTTTATAATCAAGCCCATCTGAGCAGTTGAAAACAACACATTGTTTAGCCACAGCTTTAGCTAGATCCTTGCACGTTTCTGTTTTACCAGTTCCAGCAGGACCTTCAGGAGCACCTCCTAGATTCAATTTCAAAGCGCCCATCAATGTCCGATAACATCGGTCTGTGAGAGGAGTGATTACTAATCGAGGAGTGTTGCCCAGGTACTCGTAGCCGTACTGTATAGTTGTTGTGATCATAGATACCCAGATGCATCCATCCTTTGCAGTATATCTGAGTTGACTGATCCAGTTAAAGTCTGCTACTGATGACACTTGCAAGTCATTCAATCTCTTGACCACATCTCGAGCATGGACGTCGATGACTATGAGAGCACAAATAGTAATGCGTCCACCTGTTGTAAGTTTTCCACGGACTAAGTCCACCATCTCTTCTATCTGCTCATTACATTTTTGTAAGTATGGCCCTAGGGTTTGAGTCTGGATGGCAGTGGCAACTTCGGCAGTCCAATGAACACTAGACGCACATATCACTATCATCCCAGGCCATTCCAGCACCCAGTTGTATCTAGCGACGTTCTTATAGGCTTTAATGGCAGAGTTACACACATCTTTCACGGATGTTATCATTAGTTCTTCAACTTGCAGCAACCACTTCTCTACCATCCCCTTTGCATCTGCTGGGATAATGATTCCAGAAAAAGGTACGACTTCTCCCTCCGCTGAAATCATACCGGTGATATGAACGTCCTCAGTAGTGAACTGCAACTCTGCTATGCCTTCAAAGCACTTCTTAAGGTGAGGCTGGACACGAAGCGGGTCTTTTGTCTCAGACAGAATCTCAAGCAATTCGTCGTTTGATAAGAAGAAAAACCTTGGAAAGTACAGTCGTTTCTTCTCTAGATAGTCGTTGAGTCCCTTTTGAATCTCATCTAAAACTCTGTTACAATCTTTTAGTATCTGCAACTGTCCAGGATATTCAGTGGCAGTAAGAATATGGGTGTCTTCTTCGGTTTCCTTCATCATTTGTCGCCAAGCCTTGTCTACATTACGGAAGTTACGAGCTTCTTCTGGCATCTGACGCATGATGTCTTCAGAGCTGAATATTGGCTCCAAGTACATCCATGTTGCTTGCACCTGGAATAAGCCAATCACAAGACATCAGTTCAGTAAAATGTTTAGTAAATAAATCATCAAATAATGAATGTTGTCTATGCTTTATATAGTAAAAACTACTGGATGACATCAGTAAATGTCTAGATTAGACCCACAACACAGAGGACCATCTGTTTACCTGCAGCCAAGCGTCGAGGATGTCCTGCATAGAGATGAGTTTCTCCTCCCACTGCTGCATCTCCGCCTGGAACGCCTTCACATACGGAGAGCCTCTCATGGTCTGGGCCTTGAGGATGTGATCATCCAACATAACCTGGATGTCATCAACAGCTGACAGAATAGAGACACCCGTCTCCCTGCAGAACATTGTTGTTGAAAAGTAAGGTTATGTCAAATATAAGTTTTGTACATAACAGTATCTTAACTGAACCAGGATTTATTCAAGAGTGGAGAAGCTAAAATTGTCTAACATTTAAAATTCAAGATCTTAAAAAGGTATGCAAAAAATATAAACAAGGTACTTCTTTATTTGTGTACTTAAAACAGTGTAATCATACATAAAGGTATCTCTTGCTGTAAATCAATTTTTACATAATTCTTTTGCATCATTTTCTTATAGACCTCAACAGACACAAATTTATGGTTTATACATATATAAATATAAATATAGGGTGGACATGGACTAAGTCTTGCGTCTTTTTTAGCTGTGCGAGAAGAAAACCACTAATTTTAATTTCAAGCCGTCTTGAATTGTTTACATACATTAGTACTGTAACATATGGTTACTGTATTAATAAAGTTTTCAAACTTGGTTTGGTATTTTTCAATCTATTCATCTTTCTATCCATCCTGTTCGTATCTATTAGTGTCCAGTTTTAACCTCACAAAGAGTTAACAGACTTTTCTCAAGTTCCAACTAATGAACTTGCACGAATAGACACTGTAACCTTCAGATACCAAGCCAGTTTTATAAAAGCTATAAATTTGTATGGTAGGGACACTAAACTATACTTTGGATTACAGACCTGTAAGGTACAAGTTCGAAACAGATATCAACCCATTCCAGCTTCATCTTCCTCAAACTCTGCTCCAGAGCAAACTCTCGGCTCGCTGTGACTCCAATCTCTTCCAGTTTGGCAATGTGTTTTGTAAGTCCCAGTTCTATCATATCTGACAAAGTTGATTCTGGAGTAGGCGAAATTGTGATTCCAACTGCCTCGCTCATCTAAAGGAAATGATGAATAAATATAAATTGTACTCCAGTTACGATTTTGAAACTACTTTATGGAATAGTATTTTGATGAAAGATATGCATTCTCAGTAACCGTGCTTGCTGTTTAATAACTTATTTAAAGTGCACATTATTTTGAACTGCTTTTAATATGCATTATTGAGGTTTGACCCATTATCAAACCGATGGCAATTAAGGTCAATAGTACTTTGAAAGATTTTAACACTAATACCGAAACCCCACCTAGGCTGACGTTAACCGAAACCCCTGGTCTGTGAGACCCCATTTGAAAAATAATGGACCCCGCTTAGAAACACACAAACCAAAACCCTCGGTCTGTGAGACCCCGCTTTAAAATACACTAACGCTGGGCTTCTGAGACGGACATGTTATGAACAGACGACCTGTCAAGGTCACGGCACCCATGCAAAGTGAACAAATGATACATCAATAGGTAGGGGAGGAAAAGGGGGAAGGTATTGGGGGAATGGAATCTACCAAGTAAACAGTGTTGCCAACATGCGTTTTTGAAAATTCACCTTGGGCCTGTCAGACCGGGGTTTCGGTATTAGTGTTAAAAGAGCTTCTTATGTGTTGAGGATATTTGAATTGATCTAGGTATTATTTCTTCTTGATTGTGCCATCCATTATTTAAGTTACTGTATATTCCAAAGATAAAAGGCGATACTTGTAATCTTAAAAATGAATAATTGGTAAAACTGCCAGGCATCAGACCTAAAACAAATTTCAAAAATTTATCTTTTTAACCCTTAAAATAATGTCTTGAAGTTAAAAAGTTGCAGCCCTCTTGTTACATGACCTAAAAATATGTATAAAATATAAAAATTAATCAGGTTCCAACTTTCCATGTAACTCTAGAATTTTCCTTAAATACTACTGTTCTTTTTTTAATCCATTTTGAGTATTTTTGACACATTTTGAAATTCATCATGGGTCTGGTTACCTACAGTTTTTCTGCACAGAAAAAAACACGGTTTTGTATACTTCTAGGCAACATACTATAACTAACTAATTCAACTCCATTTATCAAACCTGTTGCCAATGACGCTCCTGGATGCCGGGGTTGCAGATAGTCTGCAGGACAGGTACAAACTGTTTGAACTTCTCCACCTTTGCTCGTACCATCTCAGCAATGCGCTTGGAGCCCGGCACATCAAACAGTGTCTTCGCCAGTTTGTACAACACTCGCCACATCGTCTCTACACTCTCCTTGATGAGCTCAGCATCCAGGTCCTTGAATGGGCCTAACATCAGAGATAATCTTATAAATTACAATGTGTAGCTTGTAGAAATACTTTGGAACTTTTGTTTTATGTATTTGTGTTGATCTAATAATAGACATATTTTTAAGCGAATGGTCCTAAACCTTGTCTTGTTACTATCTGATTTCGACCTTTCATTCAATATCATAAATAAATTGTAGCCCAATAACAAATTCCCACAGGGTTCAGATTATCATTTTTTTTTTACGTATCGTATCTAGGTGTCTTTTTAAAGCGGAATATGAATGCTGGATGAGTGAAGACAGAAGTGATAAGACCTGCGTCGTGCGTAGCTATATTACTTACTGGACAACAAAGCTTTGTTTCCTTAAACCATGGTGATTTTTTGATGGCCCAGTGATCAATGACGCCTGGGTCCAGTTTTGAAACATCAAAAAGCTACTAACTTTTCTCAGGATTTAACCAATTACCCTCTTAATTGTTAGGCGAGCACTATAACCACTCCGCTACCCAGCTTTAAACTTACAAAAAGTCTATAGTTTACCGTTTTTACTGGAAACTTAAACCTCTTACATTTAAGATATTAAGAAAACAATACAATTAATTGGCAATGAATTTACAACCCTCAAAATGTCAGTAAAGGAATTTCATAAGGTACTTTGTTAAGAAGCTAGGACTGTGTTGAAATGGAACATTTTTCAGACCTTGGCACTTATATGCCATTGTTCTACTAGTTTTTGAAAAAAAAACATGATTCAGGCTAGCTACTACCGATTATCTATTTGTTATTTGTATTAACATGAAAAATATTGATGATTTATAACTACTTCAGAGCTACACCACCAGATAAACAAATTTGGTTAGTGGATAAATGTTTCAGATTTACGTTATTGATTAATTTGATTGGTTTAAGATGATATTCAAAAATAGAATATTTATAGTAACTAGAATTTACTATTCTCAATTACAGAATAAGATCATGTAAAATGATTTAATCTGCTATAGCATATAATAAGAGTTCAACAATTCATTTAGATTTTACAATTGTAAAAATTACACAAGCGGCACTGCAGAATAAAAGGTGGCATTACACACAACTATAGTTCGGCCGCTTAGAAAACGACCTCCTCCAGCATTGGTTTAGCATTAGCGCGCAGGTCGTTTTCTAAGCGGCCGAGCTATAGTGGCTCTCCACATACACACATTACAACCATATCAGTCAATGCTGTAGTTTTGTTACTATAGAAACAATTTAATTTTATATTCAATCATTGAATCAAAAGTTGCAGAAGTTTTTGAGCTAAAGAAAAATCATAGTAAAGGATAAACTACATACCAAGAATTTCAAGCAAGATGGGAGTTATACACAATGATAGAAGAAGGCAATGGAACTTATATAACATAGAAATATCTTGAAGATTGAGACTCATAATGACAGATTGCATAAATACAAGTATACTGCTCAAAGAAGAAAATGATAAATACATCCGACATTCAACGAGGGATCGTTATGAATAAAATAAGGCAACAACAAAATTAAAGCAGTTTTTTGGAAACAATATCAAAGGAACCATAGACAAGATACACAAAGAACAAGAACAATAAAAAAAACAAGCATAATAAAAATAAGAAAAACAAGAAGGATACATAAACTGAAGAAGAATCAGAGAATTTCAATGAATTACAAAGAACAAGCAAAGACTTTTTTGGAGACAAGGTGTATGTACTAGTGGAAGAAGAGGACAAAACAGTGATCAAGACCTGAATCTTGAGGGAGAATATGGACAAGATGGAGAAGTTCTGATTAATATTAAGTATTGTAAAGTATTTAATCTAGTAGTAAGTATTTCATATGTAATTTAGTATTAAGTTTCTTATTGTCACATTTACATCTATCTGACCGAGTGAGGTTGATAGTATCACCTCACATTCGGGAGGTCTGACTATCAGGCCGACCATTCTGAGGTAAGTTTGTATGGTTTCTTACCTCACTTCAGGCAAATGCCGGAATGGTTCCCTCAAGGGCCATACCCCGCCAGGCAGAATGGAAGACAGGACTTGGTCCTAATTCTGCTTGGTTTATTTATAAACCCCAGTAGGTATAATTTGTTAAAAATATATTTAATAACCAGCAAATAAAACTATAATTTAACAATCTTTATTTAATTTTTTGTGCTACTCGTAAAAATATGGTCATGCATAAAGCAATTATTTATTTTGAAATTATTAAGGTCCTTAAAAAACTGTTTCCAGAACATTTTTACTTTCAGTTAAAATAAGGTTTATATTTATTAAGCCCTTATAAATTCCGTGGATTGTGAATGCCCAAACTAATATCAAAACTATTTCACCATTTGACAAAAATACTTACCGTAGTACCATTTATCATACGACTGATGAAACTCCAGCACGGTGTGCCAGAGCAGATCAAACGGCTCCACTTGGTTCAGCATGTTCATTAAGATCAGGAACGGAGTCTGCTCAAAGTCCAGTAGCTGTTCCTCTGCATTGATGGCCTTAACAAGGTTAAGATAACAACTTTAAATTTTAAGAGTTAGATAAAACAGGAACAAAACAATTTGCCTTTTTTGTTACATTATACATAATCGTCCATAATGAGCTTAGCGGGATTGTTTATAGATTGTCCCAAAAAAACTGTTTATTTGGTTACTATCAGTAAATAAACATTTCTTGGCTGTTTATAAATAGAGATCTACAATAATATTTTCTTCTATTCTGAGAGGCCTTTTTTTACTTGAAATGTGGGCCCTACAGCTTAAAGTGAACTCTGAACTACTGGGTCACACAAATTGCTATTGGTGCCTTGAAATCAGGCCTTCGAGACATTTTTCTCCATTACTTCTGTTCTCATGAATTATTCAATTTTTGGGGGGAACAATGTGCTTTAGTTGGTATGAGAAATAGAACAAATCTTTTCAGCGTGACTTTCTTTTGGAAGTATGACTTCTTCTAGTAAAAGATGTGTGATTAAAAAAGTTTAATCCTGACTGTTCTCTGAAATAAACCGATGACCTAATAATTCTGAACCACACGTAAGTACTAACATCAGCAGTGTGTTTGTCCTTGGCCAGTAGAGCTGATAGGGCTTCTACAGCGTGAACACTCTCCACCATGTCATCCATAGTCAATACTGGAGGATCTTTCTTGCGGAACACCTCTAGCTCCTTCTGATGCTCCATCAATCTGCATAAGCACATCAACCAAAATAAGCAAAAGTACACTTGTAATTGTAGAAAACAATTCCAGCCCTTGAAGCTCCGTGGGTTATATTATTGATTTAGTTATGCTTATTTTATCAAATATTCCCTCATACAATGAACAAAAATATCTAAGTTCTTATAAAACAGATTTTTGATGTAGGTACAGAAACACAATAGGTATGGATGAAAATAAGTAAAATGCCAGAATTAAGCTGCAGTTCTGCCACTTGACCTCCTTGTGAGATGCACACCAAACCTGACCTAGAAGGAATTAAACAAATCAATTTACAGTGTTACTAGGTCAGGGAGGCAATGTCTCGGCATTGAGCAGACCTCATTTAGGCAGACCATTGTCTACCATACTAACAAGTAACAATAATTGTAAATGCAAGCTCGATCCTATTAGTAGTTCTGAACTTGACTCCCAGGTTGCAAGACATATCAGGTACAGTGTTCAGCTATTTGTTGAATGATTCACATAGCTGTAGGTGAGAATTGATTTTGTTGTTGTTTTGTTTTGTAAGTTTATTGTAAGTTCAACCTTTTGGGCTCAAAGGATCCCCTTGAAACTGAACTGTCCAATTTCTATTGAAATATTAAGCTGTACTTTAAGTGTGTCTGACAACTAGAAAAAAATCTTTAATAATTAATAATTTAATAATTAATAATTTAATTTAATTAATAATTTAATAATTAATAATAATAATCTTTAATAACAATAATAATAATAATAATTATTATTAATAATAATAATCTTATTAATAATTAATAATAATAATAATAATTAATAATTAATAATAATTAATATTAATAATAATAATTAATTTAATAATAATCTTTAAGTAATTAGAAGTGGTGGAAAAGTCCTAATCAAAGAAATTCATAGCCTTATAACAAATGTATGGAATTATGAAATAATACCAGAGGAGTGGGCAGAAGCGATAATAATCCCATTACATAAGAAAGGTGACAAACAGTCTTGCTCAAACTACAGAGGTATCTCACTTCTAAACACAGTATATAAAATATTCTCAAAAATTCTATTAATGAGACTAAATCCGTACACAGAATCAATAATTGAGGATCAACAAGCCGGCTTTATGAAAGGTAGATCGACAGTAGACCAAATATTTTTGCTTAAACAGGGAATCTCAAAATATTATGAATATAATAAGAGTTTTTATGGGATATTTATTGACTTCAAGAAAGCTTACGACAGCATTGATCGAAGGACCTTATATAGGAAAATGGAAAAACATGGCATACCTAAAAAGTTAATATTTTTGACAAGATTATGTGTTGACGAATCAAAAGCGAAAGTAAAGGTAGATGGAGAAATGTCGGAGAGCTTTAGTATAAATACAGGAGTGAGACAAGGGGACGGGATTTCCCCCACTCTTTTCAACATAGCGATTGAAGAAGCTCTACAAAAAGTTAAAAATCTTAAGAGGGGCCTAAAATTGGGTGTAGACTTAAATGTCATGGCCTTTGCAGATGATGTGGTGATATTGGCTGAAAAGTCGGAGGATTTGTGTTTTCTAGCCGACAAGTTTATCCAAGAATGTAAAAAAGTGGGTTTGGAACTAAATGAGGAAAAAACCAAAATAATAAAGTTTGGACGACATCCCATCAATAGAGGCACCAATTTTAATATAGCCAACTATTTAATTGAACCAGTAGAAAGCTTTAAATACTTAGGAGTTACTGTAAATAGCTTTAACATAGAAGATACAGAAATATTAAGTAAATTAGCAAATGCCAATAAATGTTTAGGTGCATGTATGAAGCTTCTGTCATCAAAACTCCTATCATCTGATACAAAAATAAGAATATATAAAACAATTATTCAACCAGTATTATTGTATGGAAGCGAGACCTGGGTCCTATCCAAGAGAAATGAAGGACGCTTGATTGTTTTTGAAAACAAGGTCCTAAGAAAAATATTCGGCCCAGTAAACAAAGAAGGAGAATGGCGGATTAGAAAAAACAGAGAGCTACGAGCGTTATACCAGGACCCTGATATAATAGCTTTGATAAAGGCAAAAAGATTAGGTTGGCTAGGTCATGTATTGCGAAGGGAAGAAGGAACAAGACTGAAGGAAGTATGTTCTGCTGTACCAACTGGAAAGCGTCCACTGGGTAGACCAAAAATGAGATGGTATGACCAAGTTAAGAGAGATGTGAGTCAGTGTGGAGGGACAGTGGAGATGGCAGCGGACAGAGAAGCGTGGAAGAGGCTGATCTACGAGGCGAAGAATCGACTGCGATTTGTAGCGCCCCAGCAGTAAAGTAAAGTAAAGTAATCTTTAATAACTGTTCATGTTTTTTTTTAATTGAATATCTCTGCCGAACAACATTGCAAATGACATACTTTGTGAAATTGAGATAATTAAAGAACAAAGATGCATATGACATTCTCTACTGTGAGGGGTTTTCAAAAATACATAGGTTAGGACAAATAAGTACCAACATAAAAGTTGGTATTTCATCCTTTACAAGGGATTGATGGGCAGGAAACTGTCTGTGTTGGCATCAGTGCTGCTGAAAGGATTTTTAGTTTTCTGAAAATATTCACTTTTGTCACTTGCAACGTTGTTCAGCGGAGTTATTCAATTGATCACTATGTGAGCTCATCCGCTGATGATATGACTGGTTATTTTATCCCAGAAACACTTACACAAAACTTCAAAATATTTATCTCAAATCTTACATACAGCAGTTGACACTCATTTATGAAGCGATATTGTTTTGGGAAAATGGTTTAAGTTACTTAACAAGATTCTCGAGTCTGAAAATAATATTGGGGTGTGGGAAAATAATACTAACAGCTGTTCAAACTCAGCACATTTTGTTCTTAGGATGCCCTCAGCCACCTCGCGTCGGTGAGCTATCCTGGTGGCACTCAGGTCCAGGACTTGCTCCATGTCCTTGGGCCACAGGAACACTCTACTGTTCAACTGGATGTCCTCCTCTGGCAACAGAAATGGCGACAGATATGATAAAAGTTAGTCCAATCACATTTTCATCGAACCATCCAGAAAACAGTAGTTTTTAGTCTCTAAATTGTCCGTAAAATCTTCGTTTTCGAAAACTTTAGGGAACAGAAAAAACATATGGTAAATTTGTTAGTTCGCTAACCTCAAAATTTGTTTATGGCACATTATAAAATGTTGTTTACTGTTTAAAACACTCATTATGAAAATGCTGCTAATCACACAATATTTTAAGTTATGTTTGTAAATAAAAGAAATATAAACATTGATGATGACTTTGTATAACCTCAAATTATGGGGTCTAATTATTATGGATTAGAAGGTTATTTCGACAGTATGATGAAAATAGTAGTTCATCACACACAGGGAAAGTGTCTCTGTGGTACTTAATCATTCTGTACAACCGTACGCAATCGTAAAACAAAATTGTGTACCAAAAAGAGCCACTTTCGCTCCTCGTGATGAAATAAAAGTTACTATTACTTTAGGAACAACAGATGAATATTAAGATACAAGATTTTTACAAGCTTTTCTACTTAAGATACTGTTTTGTCCGTTAGCAGAAAGCAATCAATTGTAAAGGATACAAACAATTTTAATAATGGAGTTATAGCCTTCTTGTAAAAAATTAATATTGAAAATGGTTTAAAGAACTGATCATGGTCCTTTGAATTACATTAAGCAACATACTAGTTCCAGCACCTAATTGGTACCATACTCAGGTTAGATGATAAAAAACGTCAACTAATTTAGTTTTCTCCTAAAGATTAAACAGACAAAAAACTTAAAAATAAAAACTAGACGTGTAAAACTCGACTTGCCAAAATTTAATCAGCAGCTGATTTTGTCAAACATGAACCCTGGACAGGTGTTGAGCCTAAACATTACATTCCTCTGTATGTATGCTCTTGTATATCTCAGAAAAGAGTGTGTTTACACATTCCCTAACAAATACACATTCATATATGTAAAAATCATAGTTCCATTGTTTTCAACTAACGTCAAACCATCAACAAATGTGTCACACTCACGTTGCAACAAGGCGTGGCTGAGCAAGAACATGACATACTCCGCAGTGGTGATCAGCTTGGTCTTGAGGTTGAACATTGTGGAGTCTCGGCTCTCGTTGATGTAATTGGTTAACTCTACAAGCTCAGCGGTGGTCTCAGGCACTTGACTGACCTTAGCTGCCATCTCCTCAAACGTTGACGCAATACTGGAATATTGTCAAACAAACCAATCACAAATCAATACTGAAAACCAGTGAAATAAAACAAGTTCCAAAATATTTGGCCGAACCTTTTATGTAATTGTGTGATTGAATACTGAACAAACGCATCATTAAATTAGGATAAAGTAAAACAGTGAATAAAAAAAACATCCAAGCTGAAATCTTATAACTTAGATTGATTAATTTCCAGTAAAACTTAGTTTTAAAAACTAAAATTTAGATTTTTTATACAATTTTATATTTGAAATTAATTTAAATGTCATCCATATTTGAAACAGAATTATAGAATAAGTGGGAAAAGCCTCAGGGTCACCGCATTACCACAAAAAAAACAATTGGTGTGATTCACAGGATTTCATTCTCAAACTCTAGGACATAAGGTTATAGCCCTTAGGACCACTAGACCAGCTGATCTGAAAAAAAATAGAGAGCAAGAAAGTAATAGAGTAGCATTCACAATAAAAGGTGCAACCCTATATGTAATGAGTAGAGTTACATTGATGATTCATTGAACCACACTGTTGGTTATATCTACCTGCGATTGTGAGTTCTGTTCACCGCTATGAAGTAGTCCACAATCTGTTTCCTGAGGGCCGTCACCAGGGAGCTGAGCGTATCATTGACCATGGAACAGTCTAGGTTGACCAGGTTCAACGGAATATCTCGCCTCATCAAGTCTATCTCATCCCGCAACGCTTCATACATCTCTATACGTTTGGTAAAATCCTGCGTGGTCAAATGTACTAAAGTATCAAATATGTTACTGTTTTGTAGTCAATTTCAATTAAAATGGCTACTGTAAACTACTAATTAGTAGAGAAACAGGTTTTTTTTGTCACACACAGTTCATAAAAGCATGCAGTCAAGAAATCATCACTATTCCAAACTCAATATGATTGATGGAATTAATTATGATTAAGACACAGTGGGAATTAATTATGATTAAGAACATAATTAGAAGCAACAATTTCTAAAAAACTAAAACTGTAGCGTCAAATGAATTTTTGCTTCAAATAACAAACAAGTTGACTTCACCAAGCTATTTGTACCTTCAGGTAAGGGAAAGGATCAATCTTGAAGAAGTTGTCGAGTGCCTCGGCAGCTTCCCCAGACAAAATGTAGAGGTAATCATTGTAAATGTTGAGGAAAGCCTGCGGTCCTGGCGTGTTGGTATCAAACGCTTCAAGAGCCTCCTTAATTATAGCCTGAACCTCTTCTTCTTCAGGCTTGACACTTAAAAGTTCTTCTTTCACTTCCATTTCTGAAAAAAAGAATATGTTGACAAAACAATTAACTTCAAAAATATATATTTTCAACCCATTATAAATACATGGAAACAATTAATTACCTGGGAAAAGATATCTTTCAAGTCTGGGAATTCTATCGTTGACTTTGATAATCCGTAGAAATACATCTTCCACCATGGAGCGAAGAGTTGAAAATGGAGGTTGAAAGTTGAGAATCGTTGAACCCTCTTTTGGAACAACTTTCACAGTGAATAAGGGACGTTTGACAAACATCAAGTCTTGATATTCCCCTTCAATAATGTTTCCATTCTGAAAAAAATGTATTTAAAAAAAACTAGCCAGAAATTAATTGTTCATAGTAAAGAAAAAAGATTGTGTTTATATATATATATAATATTAGTTTGATTAAATGGTTGCAAACATTTTTTTGTAAACCTGAATATTTGTTTACCTTATGTTGAAGGGTAAGCCGAGGCCTTAAGGTTTATTCAGATTTATTGAATTATTCCACACATCATTCAGTTGCTGCATTCAGAGGCCTTCAACATGAACATGGCGGGGTTCAGAGGTGTCTGAACATTGAGTTCAGACACCTAATTAATGACTACATTCTACCGATCAGTTCCCCTTCAGACAAGGGAACTGATCAGATTATGGTAGGGTTACTGATCAGTTCAGGGTAACTGATTCCCGCAGGATAGGGAACTCCTATCCTAATCTCTTAGCAGGTTGCAAAGAGTTGTCCTTCTTACCTCAGAGAGCTACCCACAGTCGAAAAGCAGGCAATCGGCAGTCTGCTCTGACTTGAAGTACTTCCTGCATTGTGAGAAATCATCACACTAATCCATTCAATGAGGATACTTCCGTAACTGTCTGGTGATTAGTCCTACTGTTTGTTTGATTCTTCCAACCTCAGGGTGACTGAGGTAAACATTTGTTAAGGAGTTTACAGAGTGACCCTTAACTCTTCTTAAAAGGGGTGTTTCAGCCCATCTGCACATTTTTTTTAGAACTTAGCAGGTTTTATGGATGAAAATCCTAAACACTGGAGTTCTAAACAATTTTTACCTTGTAGAAAGTGACGAGCTCAAGTGTATGTCTGAGGGAGTTCATCACAAGAGATCGGAGTTGACGGGACAGCAAAGCATTAATGCAGTTGAAAAGGCGCTCGATGAGTAGCAGGGGAACTCTCTTCTGGCGTGGCACCAGATGGTCCCAGCTGGCACGGGATGCTAACACTATCTCAGCACAATCCACTAACCATCTACAACCATAAAGCAAGCTTAGTCCCAGGATCTCCCACAGTCTTAAAATCCTCAAGCATTCAAAGAACTCAAATTCTAGGGTCTATGACAATCCAAAAATGTAATCATCCATGAACCTAATGTAGCCATCAACATTAAGCAACTGCAGTAGAGCAACTACAATTAATTATCAAAAACCATTGTGAATTGGGTTGTACATATAACTGATTTTTCAGATAATCGGTTGACAGGAAAAATGGGATTTTAACTTTGATTGATAATATCTCAATTTACTTTAACATGTTTACAAGTATTTTTTACAGCCTCTTTTGCCGTTTTCATGGTTTTTCCAATCAAACTCCCATCATCTATGTGGAGCACACAAAACTTTTTTGTGAAAGCTTCAGGATTCTTGTAACACCAGATATCCTGGGTATTGTTACACACTCTATTTTCTCAAGCTAAACCGGATCCATTTGTACCTTTTTTTAACTACTCCAATATCTTAACACTTTTACCAAAACCCCAGGTCTTTCTGGCCCACGGAAATTTTCACAAACAAGTGTTGGTAACCCTGTTTACTTGGGGGAGCCAGTTCCCCCAGTAACCCCCTTTCCCCCCCGTACCTGACCTGTATATATATTGTATTTTCAGTTTGTGTGGGTGCCGTGACCTTGACAGGTAGTCAGTTCATAGCATGCCTATCTCAGAAGCCCAGCATTAGTGTGTTTTAAAGCGGGTTCTCATCAGGCCCAGGGTTTCGGTTGTTGTTATAAAAATAGGGTTTCGGTAAAAGTGTTAAGGTTATCAGGAACACCAAGCACTACATGATTAAGTCCATACGACAAAGTCAGTTAGGGTCAAACAATGGGAAAGAGTAGTGTCAATGATGAATGCCAATAGGCAAAGTAAGAAGTTTTTCCATCCAATGCATTTCACTTACTGTTCTAAAAGGATTTTCCGAGATTCTTCACAAAGCATTGTGACGAGGGAGTCCCAGTTTTCTGGTATGAGAGGAAACCCAGCTTTTTCCAGCTCAATGCATGGTAGAATCAAGAGTGTGTTGTACCTAAAATTACAAAAGTCTATATCACAATCATAGCTGAAAATCTTTCCGCGTGGCTTACAATGAAAGGGAATATGTAGTACAATCGCAAAAGTATTTCATTTACAGGATATCAGTTGGTTAGAGAGAGTTTTTTTTTTCAAATCTGGAGGTTGCTTGTTTAGTCCTGAGAAGAATAGATTTTTGATATATATGCTATTTTGTTATTATGCTTACAGTTTAGTAATAATTCTTAATGTTAAATAATAGGTCAATTTAAAATCACTACCAGGACTAGGATTTAAACTTTTCAACTATAAAAATACCCCCGCCGCAGCAAACCTGCAGACTAAGCGAATTTCCATTTGACTGATTGGATTTACACTGAAATGTCTACTTAAAAATATAACATTTATTCCCTATTTAAATAGAATTAGTTTAACAAGTACTTAGGTTTGCTGCATCAGGGAGGGTAAAACTGTTTTTTTTGTAAGATGTTAATAGTTAGTAAGAAATAAAAACATTTACCAAATTTGATCAAAATATGTTCATAAACAAGCAAACTACAACAGTTTACTTATTCTCCATAAGAATAACATGGGAATTTTAAATTTACAATTTTTTGGAATTTTCTCCGTAACCATTAGGCGCATAATAACGCTTCAATATACTAAATTATTTGTTTTTTTAAGCTCTACAAAATGGTTTGGAAAGAAATTGCTAAATTTTATGTTTTTTGGGTCAAAAATGGGAAAAACCTATTTTTACCCCATAAAACCCCCCGTAAACCCCCGTTCCCATGGTCCGATCATGCTGGATCGCGAACTCGTTCGAATAAACGTAGGTTTACACGTTTGTACCAAATTTCATCAAAATCGGATCATTTTTGCTCGAGTTATCGTGCTAACGGACACATATATATATATATATAGATATATAAATATATAAATATATAAATATATATATATATAAATATATAAATATATAAATATATAAATATATATATGAATTTGAACGGATGGTGTTTTTGGCCTCTTCGGACCTCAAAACAAACAAAAAAATCGGTCCCGTGTCCAGGTCTTACCATGAGTACTACGGTAATAGCTTATTCCCTATATGGGAAATTCGCTAAAATCACGAAATGCTACTGACATTGATTTACACAAGGTTCTACAGCCCTGCCTCATTTGTGTAATGCAAACAAAACCAATTCTCTAGGGACAAAAGTGTCTTGAATCTACTTGGATCCCCTTGGTGGTGTTAAACTTAAGTCAAATCGAGCCAACAAAATGATGTGGTTGAATAGTCACACATGTGGGACCTGTGATATCAAGCTATCTCAGATGCCACTCAATCACAGCTTCTAGATTTTAATGTACAGGACTTACATACATACTATTTTCTTAACTTTCAATTGATTATGCTTATTTATGGCTCAATCTGCACTCACTTGGTATCCCACAGGTTACGGAGTGCGTGCATGGTGGCATGTCCAATGAACAGACTGTAGTGAGCACGTTGACTAGACGTTATGTACGCCTGATGCCAGGGGACGGGCGCTCGTATGGTCAGTGCCGGGTAGCGCTGTGGATACGACTGAATGTTCAGTCTCACTCTCTCACTGGGATCCAACATGACATAGTCCAAGAGCGCTATGTTCTGACTCATACAGTAACACTGTCTTACTTCTTGGTCCACTGAGTCCAGCATAGGAATGTACCTTGTAAAAGTTACAGTTATTATGGCATCATGTTTGAAGTACTGTATTTAAATTCATCTTGTATGAAGTGAAAAATATTAAGTAATGGTCGAGTTTAACTAATTTATTTATACTTTAAATGGAATTTTAAGGAAGAAAGGAACCCTTAGACGAGCAACAACGGGAGAAAGAAAAAATATGTTTGATTGGGAAACTAGAGGGAGAGGGGGTGTTTGAGAACACTCTGGAAGGAAACAAGAAGGCGGGGGTTGTGAACAATCTGGAAGGAAACAAGAAGGGGGGGATTGAGAACACTCTGGAAGACATACTGCTTAAAAAAGAATTTGCATAGTCAAGCATAAATCAAATTATTTCTCTGAAAGGTATTGCTCCAAACAAACAGCTCCAAAACATACTGTTCCTAAAAAATGTTTTGGAGAGCAATATCTCGATCTTGTGAGTATGCATACGCTGTTTACTCGGGTCAGCCCAACTCACACACATGCAGGTTTCACACACACAGAGGCAACGGGTTAGGACGGTCCATTGAGTATGTTTGTGTATATGCTTGAGTGAGTCGGGTCCCTCACAGGTAGGGCTGAAAAGCTCCAGTTGCACTCAATGAGCAAACAGGGTTTGTGTGTGTTACACTCAAGCAATAAGGGATGTAATTAAACTCTATATAAGAAAACTTAAATTGTATGTTACAAAATTTAAGTTCTATATTCAATTTTCTTCTTTTTTCCTCACAATTAGTCATGAATATGAATTCAAATCTTTTTTCAAATGGACCATTAAAAAAATATATTGATGGATGGATTATGTCTGATAATGTAATCTCTCGTTTAGAGCTAAAATCAAACTTTGTTTTAAAGTGTTTTTGTAGTGTATTGGTACTTTACTTTAGCACACAGTCTTGTGCCTTGTGATGATTTAATTCCTTACCAAATTCAAGCACCTGTTAGTAACCTACCCTAAAGCATATAATTTGCATAATACTCTGCCATTTAGCTCTTAGCGCATACAAAACTATATGTAATTATTTAAAATTAATTAATAATCCATGACAAATGTTAACACTAGTACTTAATTGATACATTTTTGTACAAATTCCAATAGTTTACAATGTAATGGTGTTCATCCTATATCGTTAAGACAATCGGTTTAATAACACTCAGAGATATACTCACTTCTTGTCAAGAGGAATCTTAACTTTTTTCTTTGCTTTGACCAACCACTTTTCATCAAATGGTTCAATCATGTCATCACTGATGCCCTGGTGAACAAAATGTTTCATATATGTATACATTCTGTATTGTATTAACTTACGTGTATTCAAACCCTAAAGCTGATAGAGAATTAATATGTATGCTTAACAATTTAACAGGAAGAGTTTGTGGCTTTTGGCTTTTAAAGTATATAGAAAGAAAAGATCACACTGCCATGTTTTATATTCAATTTAATTTTCAAAGATTTTATTTTACTTGACTACACTAGTCACTGCCCATGTCCAAGATAAGACCCTGTAACGATAAGAATGGTTGATAGCATTTAGGTCTTTGAGAAAATTATGAAATGTAAACGCTTAATCTGTAAACATCAAGTTGGTTAACTATCTGACTTTACTGCACTGTTGGTTTCTTTGTGAAATAATGTAAGCTAAATGTTCATATCATGATAGAAACTACTGTATTTACCTCTGTTAAATAATATTTAATCCTCTCCCAATCTTCTTCTCTGACAATCTTCAGTTGCTGTTTGTCTGCATGTTCTTTCAGGATTGCTTTCTGTACATCAGGATGCACTGGTAAGATTGCCTCCATTGAGGCAAGTCTCCTGAAAATATTTAAAAGAAATGTGGAAATAGGCAATGAAACTAATAAGTAACCTAGTTGACAACGAAACAGATGGGCAAGACTAGCTGCTGTCTTTCAAGAATCTAGAACAAGTTTCTGAAGAATATTTAATTTATAACCTGCACAGTATGATCAAATATGAGAAACCTGCAACCATAGTTGTTGTTACTTACTGCTGCAATAGCAGCCATATTTATAGTTTCAACATGAGTGATATGTTGTACTTAAAGACGCTAAAATCTTTTAAAGAAAATTTGTCCAAAAACCTTCTAAATATTTCTGATAGGTCAGGGATAAAACCTGTCCCTCTCACCCTGCAGTCCAAGAACCTAACTATTATAGAGTAGCCACCTTATTTTATTGTTAAATTTTATTTTAACCACATGCACATGCATTATAAACTCAAAGTACAATGGTTTTGCTGATTTGACTGATTAACACGTTGGGTGCTGATGACGGGAATTCCCGCAATTGCTTAACATTGAAATAAATGCAACTTTTATGTTCAAACATGTCGACAGCACGAATAGTGTTAATTCTGTTTGGTGATTCATAGTCCAGGAATCTCCAGGTAGGATGTTCTAGGAGACCACATGTAGGATGTTCCACGAAATCTCATGTAGTTTGATGAGGATCTGATGTCAATCTCTCTTGCCATCTTACCTTCCACAGTATGTTACAAGTGTACTGTCCTTGTGGATTGTATACTACAAAGTGGACCATTTTTATACATCCTTTCACTGATGGTTTCCTTTCATATTAAAACATGTTTAGTATCTCACAATATGTATCATTTTGTTATTGATCAAAATAGGTAATCTAAAACTCCCAATTCACCTGGCCTCCTCTTCCGCCTTGCGTTGTTGCTGTAGTTTGGCCTCTTCTTGTTTCTTGAGTGCTCGTTGTCTCCGTCGCTCCTTCTCCTCGGCTTTCTTCCTGTCATATTCTCCACTCAAGAGCTCCTGCAAACATTTTAATATCCATTAACTTTCTTTGCTATATATTAAGAGGTTGACCTTCTAACTATAACTGCTTTAGACACACCTAATAAAATTTTTATCTTAATTGATATACAAGGGTATCCAAAAAAGAATATTGGGATTCAAACGGTTGTCTTTTGGGGACTGTTCAAGATAACTAAACAATTTAAACGTCAAATTGGTATTGAAATTACCAAGTTTTGTTTGCCGTGTAGCAAGGGAGGAAACGTTGATGTTAGCATGCACAAAAAAGTATGAGGTGTCAGGCCGTCCTTGTGACTCCCGTGCCTGACACCAGTCTCCAGTAGGATGTTTACAGCGCAACAGGAGTCATACTGTGTGATGTTCAGTGCAAAAATCGATTGTCCGACAAAGTCTTCATTAAACGCACCAAAATCAACACTCCACAATTTTATTTGTAAAATATTGAGATTTTGTACCTAGAGAATTCAGTGAAACCCTCAAGACATAACCGGTTAACCTACAATACCTAAGATTAAACACGACAATCCTCCTAAGCGTACAGACTTTGCCAGTTTTTTAATCCAGATGACCGAATCCGAACTTGGTTAAAAAAGGGCTGTTTTCAGATGAAGCTATATTCCACACAAGTGATGTTGTTAACTGTCACAATTGTCAAATGGGAATCGAAACAGCCAAACACTGCACAGAAACATGTGCCCAATTCGCCATAAGTGAACTTATGGTCTGGATTAATGTATGACCAAGTGATATAAGAGCCAAAAGAGGCCAAAAGATATGACCAAAAGGTATGAAAAAAACTGTGTTCTTTTCTCTTCAATTTGACGCTCAAATCGTGTAATTATCTTTAATCCAAGCAATGGCCGTGCAGTCCTGGCATTTTTTTTCAGAGACCTTTTATAAGTTGTTGTTTACCGAGAGTTTAACCACCCCAGGCTGGTGTCTCTGGGCCGCAGACTTGGTGGGTCTCTGTGGCTGCAGTCTAGGCAGCTTGGGTGGGTAGGTGAGGTTACCATCAGCATCCAGACATGTGATGGAAGGTTTAGTCTTGCGCCGCGGAGGCAGCTTAGTCAGCCGGAGTCCACTCACACCAGTTGTGTAGCAGCTTCCTACACTGTCTATGGGCTTCAGGTACTCAAAACCGTCCTGCAAATATATAAAATTGTTATTATTCCACCCATCACAATATAGGAAATTGTTGTTTAAATTCTCTGGTAAACTAATAGAAACAAACTGCATATCTCAACATAAAAAATATAATGCTATAATACTTTGATACCCTGAAAGGCACAGATTTGGTCCAGGACTTGTCCTTCATGAGGGGAGGGAAGAGTCCCCGCTGCAGAGTTGCCGCAAGGAGAGGGGTGGGTTGCTCCTCGGCCACCGGCAGCCATGGCAGTGCAGGGATTTGTCTGCGGCTGGGCCGAGACTGTCGTCTGCGCTGTGGTCCAGACGATGTCATTACATCCCCTCAGTGGAGCATCTGCATCACATATCACACACCAGAGAGCAAGATTATACCTTTGACTACAACTAGTCATTAGTACAACAGTATAAATTACCTGCTTTAGTATAAAAATTGACATACTAGTCGAATTCAGCCGTTGATGAGTGTGGATGTAATTTACTGATTGTTTAACTGCAATACATTCTATGAGTGGTTGATATAAATATGTTCTTTTTAAATTAGAAACTGGATACAGCTGGTTCATGTAAATGGCATGTATATATCAGTATCCAGAAGTCATTAAATACATAAAATTTAAATATCGTTAGACAAGGCTTTTTGTTTTAGCATAAGAGCTGAAATTACAGACAGTATAATTGAAAAAATTAATTGATTGCACTTTTACCCTACTAGTTATTTATGTAAATTTCATTGTGTTGTGTTGGCATCACAAATGCCCCCCCCCCCCCACAACCAACTGTTTCTTGTACAATCTAGTCACTGCTCAACCTCAACATTAGTAATCAACTGTTAATAATTGAACATGGGGTTTATTAAAAATATTGTTCTTGTTTAACAAACAGCCACTTTGGTAACTTTAAACTTTCAGCAAAAAAAGTAAAGAGCCACCTTTAAATGTAAAATGTATCATTTATGTTGGTAGATTCTTATTTTTAATTTCTTATCTGCGAAAATAAAACGCCCTAATTGTGTTTTTGAGTTCCTACAACTGCTTCTAAAAAACAAACACCACTGGTAGGTATGTTGTAAACAACAAATCAAACTAAAATTGACCGGTGTCACATTAAGAATTTGGACCCGAATATTCCAGTGCTAAGAACCTTGCCTGGTAGCTTTGTCATTTTGTATGAATAAGAATAAGAATGTATTTATTTTCTTGAAAGTAATATTACAAATATCAAAATGAGATAGTGAAATGACCTTTGGAAATTAACCATGTCAAGTAGAATTATTAGCCTATAGGCTATTACATGTACTCAGCTAAGTTTATTGTATTGAGTCAGCAGTGTCTGACACTATTTGATTCCTGTAACCTTTTATAAATTTAATTTTATAGTTTTACTATCATTACAGAGATAATGCATGTATAAAATCAGTTACGAAAGTCTACCGATTGTTCTGAAAACCAGTTTGCACATATATATATTAAAAATATATTAAAGTAAATATAGAGTTATATTTCTCTATTTATATATCTATATTAAAAAATTACTGTTGAATTTAGATAGGTAATTATAAATATATTTACAAGTATAACAAAACTGTTTTCAGTCGATTACAAGATTTGACATATTCATACATAGAAAATCAAGGTAATTGCCAATGGTCCCAAATATAGATGGTTTAACAATGCGTGTTTAACATTTAAAATCTCATGTACGTTAACTTAAGTAAAATATAGTTTTGTTGGTGCTGAAGAAAATAAATGAATTCATTCTTAAACTTAATATTCTTAATTAATTACATTCCTACTATTCGTCATCAACTGTATAAACCGAATTTAAAATTCCCAAAATGAAAATGAAGCAACAACCAATCTTATTCGAAGTAATTTAACTACAATTAGTTACTTACAGTAATGGTGTACTTATAAATATTATGTACAGTTTAAAATTGCTTATTAAAAAAGTACTTACAATAAACGAAAATAGAGAAGCATTAAAATAAACTATTTACAACACTCAAAAACTTGTAAACAAATAAATAATGAAATGATTTTAAATGCAAAATAAACATGAGTAATCAAGGTTAAAGATAAGCAGCTGTGAGTGTACTATGGTGTGTTATCTGTTACCATGGTTACCGGTATCTGAAGGGAGGCCTAGCAAGATTAGGGGTTAGTCAGTCATGAGTCATTGAGTGATTAAATACCTGGAGCATGTGTCAACCAACATGCCAAGATCAGTTTGATCCATAACCCACTGTTACTGTCCTTTGATATTGCTTTACTGAGTTGTCCCGATTTTTCTGTCCTATAACCTTTTTGGGAACATTTCAGGATTTGTGCTTTACTACTCGTTGGTCATAATAACTTAGGAAATAATAGTTGTAATAGTGGGTTTTTACCTTTGTTTTCGTCGAAGTTCAAAAATATTTGTAACTACAACCTTTGACTATTGATACAACACTTCTGTATCCAATAGTCAATGCTACAACCTAAACCTATAGTTTCGAAATAGTTTTTATATTTGTTCCATAACAAGAAAAAATAGGTAACAGCAAAACACCTTCTACATAAACCTGACTAAACTAACCTTAAACTTAAAATTGTCTTCAGCAGCTTAATTATGAGAAATCCAATATGAAACCTAGATCTCTAATAAATCTGTAATCCTTGCGGGACATCTGAATTGAAACACCTATTTGATTTAACGTGTAAATAATCAAAGATTAAAATAACATCCATAGATCAATATTAAACTTGCTCTATGATAAGAGAAAATGACTTGGTTGCGACTCACGTAACCATGGACGTAAAACTCCCCTCAAAACGGGCATCATATTTTACAATACGAAGTGAAGTCTACTTGCAGTATCCAAAGTCATTCATGGAGTTTTACAACGTATCTATTGTTTCACCAAAGTACATCATCCTTAACGATGGTCCCCTAGCGTTATCGCTTCCTCTAATGTAAGGTTGCGACGAGACAAATGTGGAAACGCCGCTATCCCGGCCTAGAGGCCTACTGAAACAGCTGTTGCACTAATTCATGATGAAGTGTCCGCGCGATGTTTATATTTGCACGTTTGTTTATTACCAATTAATGGGAATCTTCTTTCAGTGTATGTTTTTAGTTACAATAAAATGAGTATACTGTACTGCATCCTATATATTAAAACGAAACAGGGTTTTTTTATTTCACAATTCTGAATCAACCACTTGACGGATTTTTATGATTTTTGTGTTGAAAGAAAGATAATTTTGAGAACTAGGGAATGTCGAAGCCATAATTTTAGTTTAGGGTTTCAGTTTTTTAGAAATTAGCCTAAGTTTTAATTTTCAAAAAGTCTAGCAGCCGACGGACGAGTTAAAGTCGTTTTAGTGGTGGTTTAACTAACAGCTGGTTTCTAACTGTCATTGAAATGTTTATGTTACAAGTTGTTTGTATACAAAAATATTGATCGTCAGAGTTTGCCTACACACTATTTTACTTTAAAATGCAGTTTATTTTCTACCGTAAAAGATCTATGTTATCAGGAGATTGTGTAATTTTGAACTAAACATTTATTTTTAAACGTATAATCAAGTTTTGCCATAAATGCAATCCGTCTAAGTATAATTGCTTAATCCTTTAAGATATAAGTGGTTTACGTGTTGATACATATTTTTCTAGAAGTTTGAATATAAGTATGACTGCATACAGTACAAATTTTATCCGTAATGAAAATGTCAACCGGTGTAGTAGGTCTCCAGAAAACTGACCAGTAAGCTGCAGGGTGTCAGTTTCAATAGGCAGCTCACATGGCATTCACATATTTATTTGGGGAAGACTTTATTTTAACTTGGAAACTAAAGATTAGCTTACATTAGCCGTAACACAAAATTATCCTTTGAAAACAAATTTTTCACCCATTTGGACCTAAAGTATCCAGCCAGTGGACAACTTCGAACTCCGACATAATTCAAAGATATAAATAATTTAAAATACCAAACAGATTTTACTGCCCCCATGTTAACTTTAATAATACTATCCACCAAGTAATGACAATACCTTTAATCAGTGAAGAAACCAAACATTATCGTAACGTTGTTAAAAACATCACATACAAATTAGAAAGATGTCCACATTTCCAGGAAGTACCCTTGATAACAGCGTAGCGACCTACAGACTCAAATGAATTCATCCGATCAACCCTAGCAAATCACTTATATTGCTAATACTTGTCAGCAATATTTTGTTTTATTTTGTAGTCTAAATGCACTGCACTTGTTTGATCGTGATTGACTCATACTAACTTCTAATCGAATTAGAACAGAACATATTGGTATTATGATTTTGGTTCGCCTATGATTTTATTATAAGTAGGTAATAGTTGTCTTAGCTTAGATTTACAGTGCCATAGGTATCTCAATCGTTAGTTAAATCAAGCAAAAATAACATAAGATGTAGCCTAGTTTATTTATTTATTAAATCGTCTATCCATCATAATATTGTCCATCTTTATATTTATGATATTACTAGCTGTAACCCGCGGGCTTTTCCCCGTTTAACTTCTTAATTTTCAAGATTATCTCGTTCGCATGGCTCAATCACGTCCTGGTTGAAGTTTGTTCGCTACGCTCACTCACCTTTAGGTTGGAGCTCGTTCGCTACGCTCACTCACCTTTAGGTTGGAGCTCGTTCGCTGCGCTCACTTGCCTTCAGGTTAGCTCGTTCGCTACGCTAACTCGCCTCCAGGTTGAAGTTCGTTCGCTACGCTCACTCACCTTTTGGTTGCAAATTAGCTGTTGTCATAAATGTAAAAGAAATAATAGTGCTGCACCCTGTTGGTAATCCTTGTAACTTTAATG